AAGGACATTGTTGAGAGGTTGGTGCTGGTCTTTCCTCACAGGTAATTAGGGACAGAACCAGAGGGAATGGTTGCAAGTTGCAACAGGGCAAGTTTAGACAGGACGTTAGGAAGAAATTCTTCACAGAAAGAGTGGTCAGACACTGGAACAGACTGCCTAGGGAGGTGGTTGAGTCGCCATCCCTGGATGTGTTCAAGTGTTGTTTAGATGTGGTGTTGGGTGATATGGTTTAGGGGTGAACTTGCAGTGTAGGGTCAGTGGTTGGACTCGATGATCCCAAGGGTCTTTTCCAACCTGAACTGTTCTATGATTTATGATCTATACATTTCATGATATCTGATCATATAGCCATATAACAACAACAGCGCATTCTTTGATAGGTTTAGTGCTTCCAAAGCACAACTTACCAGATCCTTATCAAGCAAACACATTTACTTGCAGCCAGCCTGGCAGAATATCACACTGAGAAATGCATCTGAATGTATAACAGCAACAAAAAAATCAAAAAGAGTTACGCACCTTGTTGAGTATCACCCATGTGTGTGCACAAGAATGGCATCTGTGTTTTCACAGATGACTTTCGATTTGTCAGTCATGTTAAAGAACTCTGCTGCCCTTAAAATGCCCTCCAATTTCAACCAAGGCTCTAAATTGCCAATCTCTGATAGTTCCACCTGAAGGAAATGGGTCCTTTAAATGCCAAAACATAAAAGCAGCTACCTTTTCAAAATCTAGACTGTAATGATTTCCCCTTAATTAATGAGAAAAATTTCCATTAGTTTTTGGAGGGTTAGGGTTTGTTGTTCTTTCTTACGTTATTAGCCCAAATATAAATGCAAGGGATTAAACTGATTAAGTATTTCAGATTTCATTCCAAGAATCGACAAGCACATTTCCTTACCTGACTCCTTCATAGGACACAGTGCACACTGCATGCCCCAGGCTTCACCGTACAGGCAACAACACTCGGTATATGTAGTTTGTTTTCCAACCAGAGGTCGACTACAAACAAAATCATCACTTAGATGTTGCCAGCAAAGATCCTGGTAGACCTCAGTTTCTTCAGTTTGTTCTGATGGAGAAGACAGCATTAGATCATCATTGCAGCACTGTTATTTAAAAAAAGATACTGGCATAATGTAGAGTTTTCTGAACCTAGATTAGAAAAATAGCCTAGATTTACAGATTTTGCTGAATACAAATTTAATCTTAGAAGTCACGACCATTTTTAAGTGCCTGAGGTTGCTCAACCCTTCAGCTTTGCAAAAATGTTAAAAGGTTGTGATTTCGCACTGCTGGGCAACTTTAAAACTATTTTGAGTTGGACACCCAAGAAATAAAACTTCTTAAATCAGTAGTCATTACTGATGCTTAACACTGACTCAGCTCTGCTCTCACAGAAGTTAACAGAGGTTGACAAAAATCAGTGCTAGGACAGAGGTGAGTATCTGGGGAACTCTGTCCACAGAATGAACCTTTAAAAGCTGTTATTTTGCTTTTCTTATATTGCTGTCAATGGCATCTGAAAGAGCTTTTACAGCTAGGGCAGAGCTGAACAAAAATTTTACTCAAAATGTGCTCAACAGGAGACTGGACAAATATTTGGAAGAGAGTCCCATTAACTAAACAGACAAACTACATCAGGCTCAGGAAATCCCCTGAGCTGAAAATAGCTGGAGGCTGGGAGAGTGCTGGGGAAGAGTATTGTTTATCTGCACTTCTGTTCCCTAATCATCCACTTACAGCTATTGTTAGAGACAGAGTACTGCTGTGAACTACTGTCACATTCTTATGAACATTAACAAAAACATGTATTTTTGTCAAAGCTGGAATATTTCAGAGGCATACTTGTTCTGTGCAGGAACAATTCCTTGTTCTAGCAATCTCTGATCACTGCTGATGGGCGAGAGAGGAACTGTAAACTTAAATCTTCCACTTGGAATGTAAAAACTTCAGCACAATTGTTCTCTAAAGACATCTGCAAGGTTTTGATTTTGTTCCAACATTGAGTGAAAAATAAGTGTTGTCACAAACCAAGGTTTGGTTTTGTCTGTGCATATCTACCTACTGCATTTTTACATGATGCACTGGCGCATGGGTCAGTATGGAACTGAGATCTAGCTCAGGAGCAAAGCGGTGAGTTCTGAAAGCGCAGAGGTGATCAGCAGTTAGATACATGTTCTGCTAATGACTTGCCAGAACGCACAGCGAAGAGCAGCAGTGTGCCTCTGCAACCAGCTCCAAATGCTGGCAGCAGAGGAACCAGCCTGCTCCCTCCTCCTCTCCATCAGGAAGGACATTGCCAGTAGTGACACAAGGCCTGAGGGCTTTGTGCTGGGTGAGGTCATTGCTGTGTCAGCCCCAGTGTTGCATGATGAAGACCCTTGGAGCCCTCACATTCTCTTTACATCCTAGATGAACCCAAAGGACAATCTGGCTTTTGGTTTACTAAACTGAAGGTCGAACAACAGAAATGCCATGGTTCTTCAACAGTTTCAGGCAAGAGAATGATGACATTACTCCTCAAAAGTATCAGTCTTTAATTTGGAGTAACAAAAGCAGGAATTGAAGTCTGTATTCCCATTTTCTTTCACAGAAGCATCTTATGAAAATTCATTGCACAGACCAGAGTTCTAGATTTATGGCTGGCTATACAGTGCCAACATTAATCAAGCCCATTGTAACATTTCTTTCAAAGATGTGTGTGGCACAGACAAAGCTGTGCAGACTGCATCATGCTCTGGATTTCTGAGATGTATCTAAGAAACTCATAATAATTAACATTTTTTCTGTAATCAGTGTTTACTGAAATCAAAAGAACATGCAAAAACCTTGCTTTAAGAGTGATGCTGCAGCCCACAGCTTGAAAATGTGAGCCGATGTACCCTTTATATCAACCAATTGAAAGACAGATACAATTTCAGCTATCTCCTCCTATATCCTGTTATTCCTGTTTTTACTCCTTGCTTTGTTAGAAGCAGTCACTCACTCCAAACTGAATCTCCAGAGTTATGCTGCAACCAAATCCCAGCCTTAGTGAGACAGCAAGCAGGCTGTGCCTGTGCCTCATTACCTACAAGGCTGGATGAGGCAGATGCAGAGCTGGTAGATTGGAGGGCTGGAGACTCCCCAGCCCAAACCTAATCTCATTAATACTTCCAGCCGTCTCCTGCCTGCGCTAATAAAGTGGAGCCCCGAGGAGTCCTATATCATGATGCCTTCTGGATCAACAGATAATGGTCCAAGCACTGCCTTCCAAAGTCCTCCAAAAGAGCAGGCTCATCCAAGCATGACCCAGCCTAAGCTTACTGGCGTCTGTAGCCATGTCGGCACCACCTCGTCGAGGCGTACTCACTTCAGTAAAATGTATAATGGATCATACCACTTGAATCTGCTGGTCTGATGCATCGCTTTTCTGTTGCGTCCAAAACCATTGGGTGTGTACAGAAACAGTTGTAAGATCCTTCTGTGTTAATGCACTGGCCATCAATACAGCTGTTTGGGTCCTGACATTCATCCGTGTCTTTAAAATGGAAGGAAATGTATCAAGGAGAGCCAGCACAAAGTAGTTGCATTGTGTTAATCCGGGTTTATACCTTCCTATATTAGGAGCCGACTTCCCTGCATGCCTCCTGTTAATTACCACAAATACCAATTGCTGGCAGTAAAATCCTGCCTGTGCCCACGGAGAAGGACAGACAGATCAGCAGGATGCTGATATCCTGAAGGACTAGGGAGAGTCTGGATGAGGAGGCTTGTTGAGGGACGTGCAGTGTCAGGCATACCCTGCATCCAGCACAGCTGCAGCTGCTTCCCACTTCCCTATCGCTTTAGGTCAGTACCAGCAGGCATCAGAGGTGGGCATACTCTCTGAGATTCTTCCAGAGCTGGTCAGGAGAAAGGATCACCTTACCTAGCCACAGTAGTTCTATTCCTCAGTTTGTCTTGGAGAGGAAAAGCAGAAATTTTTCTCAAGGGAAGAGCAGGCCATTTTACTTCAAATAAATTACATCAGCAAAACCCCCACCCTTTGTAAAAAACAATCAGAGAATCCCAAGGTGAAAGGCTTTCTTATTGCGGTTGCAAAAATTACTTCCTTTCATTATGCTATTCTGCATATTATCCATGGCTTTCTGCTTACAAAGCAAAAGCCGGGGTCATGGTTAGCAGTAATTTCAGTTAAATACCAGAACGAAAGTAGTACAAGGTTGCACAGGCTAAAACGGGCTTATCAATGACCTGAACTGTAATTTCACATTGCATGTTAACTCCTTGTGAAAAATACCTGCCCTTGAAAAAGTAAAAAAATCTGCCTTAATTTATTTTAGTAAAACCAGTACATTTACCAAGTGAAACGCGAGCTTCAACATACAGGCTTTCACTGCTCACCCCACACAGAAAGAAGGCTCAATTGTACCTTGGCAGAGTGAAGCAGCAGCATGCATGTAAGGAGAGAGCCACCTCCAACCACTTTGTGATGCCTGCATAAAGGCTGGTACCAGCTCTAGACTATGCACTCAAAGGAGCAAAGGAGCTGTTTTGGAGATGCAAACTCCTGGGAGCAATTTGCTGGAAAAGGAAGCAAGTAAAGCAAACCCTGCTCTACACGCCATTGCCATGTTAGCCAGAATTGCTGCCCAGCCAAGCAGAAGGGGAAGGAAATAACCCAATACCTCTTAAAAAGCTGATACAGGAGTTTGGAGGCCCAGTGTTCCTCCCTGTGCTGGGAATACCGCAGTTCTGATGGGAATCCTGCCTTGCAAGTCTGCTTGTTTTGCCCATCTGCATACCATTATAGTGACAAGACCACTTTAAATAAACTTACCAAAGCACTGGAGCTTAACAGGGTCATAGTATGTGCCTTGTTTGCAGTAGCACTCATAACCTGGCTGTGTATTCAAACAGAAGCCATTTTTGCAGATTTCTTGTCCAAAGAGTTGGCATTCATCAGCATCTGGGGAGAGAACATGAAAGGCTGAGTTACCGTAATGATTCTGAGGCCACACAGGGAAGCAGGATGGAATGAAGCCCATACATGTCTTTGTTCAAGCAAACTTCGCTTTAAGTAGAGGGCCCCAGGAGCACAGATATCCACGGGAAAAAAACCCCACCAACTGGTGCGAAAGACGCTACAGTGTGCTCATAGCCAGAATGGGAAAGGCAAAACTGATGGACCATGACTTTCTCTTGCCCTTGTCATAATAAGTCCTGTGGCACGCAGAGAATGGAATCCGCAGCTCCCCTTTCTTTCCTTTGGGATCGCGTTGCTCTTTGCTCCGAGCAAAACAGATGAAGAACATGGCCTGTATTTTCCAGTATAATTTGCTTTACCCAAGGGATTCTCACCATGAATCTAATTTAATCACACCATCTAACAACAAAACTAACTAAGCAGTTCTGCTTTTGGATGGACTCTGTGACAGTTCTTCTCTCTTCATGTAGTTTGATGATTCTGCTGCACGTGGTAGGGAATCTTCATATCCGCACTGCCTGTGACTTCGTTTGTCCAAGCTGTGCGCGTAACTTCTGTGGAGGTTTCCCACCATGTAAAAACCATTGTGTCTGTTGCTAAATATAAGGCTGAAATTACTACAGACCTACTGATAGTGATAACATCTACCGCTCTTTCAAATGAGGCTAAATGTTTTCAGGGAGGTTTCATGGAAAATATAAGCCAGCTCATATATAGCTTTTCACAGTTGTATACATTTTTTTCTCAGTTTTGTACTTATGCATTTGTTACTGTTGGAATTCTGTTCACTTCTTTTTTCCCATCTACTTTTCATTTGCTAGTCCTACCTAGAACGGCCTGTTAAAAAAGGTAATAAAAAGCACAACATAAAGTAGGTGATTCTCCTCTCAATACCAACCGCTTTAATTCACCACCTTCTATAGATTTGCTCCCCATTTACTGTGGGGTAATAGAGATTTTAGCCCAAAGCTGTCATTTCCAGCTGTACATCAGTTCTAAACGTGTATTATTCAAATGCTTACTTTTTCCAGAAGAACTGAAAGTGCTGTGAAATTATTTTTACAGCCACTCTTCCAGTCACTAAGTGCCTTCAAACATTAAATACTCTAAGTTTGACTGTTTAGTAGCAAGAACAACGCAAAGACTAATAAAAAATGTAATGTACACGCCTGTCTTTTTCCTGTGCAACATAGATTTGGATCTGGGAAAAAATGGGAAATCCTGGGAGTAGTTGAGGAAGGCTGGCTTGAGCATATTCACTTCTGACAGATAATTCCAATTGAGAAAACACAAGTTGCTCCTATAAGCAGAAGCTCGTGGACAAAAGCAACAGGAACACGGGACTTAGTGTAACAGACCAAGGTCACACTACTAAAAGTACACTTAGGAGTGTCCTAAGGTTATTACAAAATATACTTACTGAAAATAGAAAAAGCCTTATTATGGCAAGGATTTGCAGAAGATAGTTCGTCTGGAAGTATCTCCACACTCCAATATTTATGGCAGCTACAGATACTATCAGCCCTGATGTAGCACAACAAAAACAATGCAGATTTTTTCCAAGACACATTTGGACATACTGTACACACTGCATGTCCCAAATCTACATTGCAAAGATATACAGAAATCTTACATCTGCAAAGACAAACAATACATGTAATCCCTGAACAGAAATACTCTCAGTGAGTAGTAAGTCCTTTAAGATGAGCTCTGTGACAGTGTTCTGACCTGTCTAGATGGGAACGGTCAGGCTCTCCAACACTGGTCCCTGCCACCACCAGTCTCAGGTCTGGATTCATCCCAGAGCACTTGGTTCTTTACTCCAAGCTGATGGACAAAGCAACATCTCCAGACAGTGGAGGTCCTACACTAGTTACCCTATTTAAATGTCTATATTAGAGTTAAAGTGGGTATTAGTGCCTTCCAACCTTTAGTATCTTTTCTAGGTCCATGTGCCAGGGACAAAGAAACAGGACCTTTACAGGTGCAAAGAAACACCTACTGAGGATAACAAAAAATGTTAGTAGGACAAAGAACTGAACTCAGCCGTTGTCTACTCACTAACTGAAGAGGAAAACCAACCTAGTATCCTCCCTACTCAGTCAGGAAGGAGAGTCTGAAAAAGTACATAAGAGTGGTTATGAAAAAGCCCCAAAATCTTTCAAGTTCCACCAATTTGCATCATCTCTCAGAATTCAGTCTAAGTTGAATCAACTCTGACAAATGCTTATCTATCAATCATGTGATACTGTACCTCTATTAACTTCATTATAAACAGTAAATTTTACTGCATTTTTGCATGATAAGAACACACAGTTTCCACATTTAGTTCTTCATCTGCAAAAGAGCAATTACAATAGGAACAAATATATAAAATGTGTGCTTTTCTAAACATCCTGTAGCTGCTATGTAACCCAAAGATAATATGTTGACTTCATTTTAGCTAATACAAATAGTGTGTTTATGCCAAGGAAAATTAATCTCACATATTATTGATAGCTACTTCTCAAACTTGAAATTTCGCTGATGTCACCCTTCCCTCTTAGCGACGGCAACTCCCTCCTGCCCACACCCACCAACTGCTTCCATCACTCGTGTTTCTCTATAAGCTTTTGTTCAGTAATTATTTCATGAAGTTCCATAATGAACACAGCATTGCTGAACTTCCCTTCACTTTATGTATTTACTCTCATTTGCAGGCCTAACTTTTAACAGAACTTTTCTTCTCTCTCCCAGCACCCCATACATTTATTCACAAATTTCGCTGGCTTTCTATTTCCTATGTAAATGAGTATTTGAGGTTTGTGGTCTCAGCACTTGCTCTCACAGTATATAGCACTCAGTATAAATTAAACTAGAATATTACAGAGACTATAATTGACATTCTTAACAATCTGTCAAACAATGATTTTCAGTAATGTTTCATATCACAAGCTGTTTTTGTCACCTACTAAAATCTGAATTTGTGTGTTTACATTGCTGGATCATATTTCTAGTCAATCAGCTACCAGAACTTCTGCAATAATTAGACTTAATAGAAGTCAGTACTGACCTTTATAATTCTGAGAAAGAAGCCCGTAAGATGATTCTCCAGAGGGAATGAAACCTTTTCCTTCAGGACACAAATCAGAAAATTCAGCTAGGAGAATGAAAAGACAAAAAATATGTTCTTAAGAGAAGTTACACACATATGTCCGTGCTATATACGTGTTTCAGGATATTCTGAGAAATCTGAGGCGACGCTCATGCACACCTTTAGCTAAATGGGGGATGCTAACAAAACAGCCCGACTTTCCCTTGCTCTCCGTTTGCAGAGGTAACTTGGAAAAACCTAGCTAGGGCACTCCCAGCATCGCATCACAGAGTCCCTACAAACTAATTTCTCTTGCTCCTTGGCAGGAGAATGTAGCCCTTACTGTGTTTCATGGCACACTGCAGTTATAACAATACCAGTAGCCAAATTATCTTAATTAAAGCTAGCGTGGGCCTCTCTGAGCTATATTGCAAGCTGCTATCTAGACATACCCCAACTGACATACAAACCCCTGTCCACATTCTTTAGTCCTTATACAGGGAAAACACTAATTGACTGCAACAGGAGAACATGGTGTGGATTACAGAGGGAAATTATTTAAAGTGTCTTGGAGAGACTATACAGAATCAAATAAACCTATGCAAGCTCTTTTTGTAACGCACTTGATTTCAGTTTCATTGATTCTAAAGTACAGTTAAACCAGGAATTAAACATGATGATACATTTGTGTGAAAAGTAATCTTTAGTGTTTAATCTCAAAAAAGTTTACACATGTCCTCTCTTATGTGATTTCTTACAGCTGGATTCTGAATTTCAGCCATCACTGTTTATGTTTCGAGTACTGTTTTCAGTACTTGTGACAAATATCATATGGCTGTGTTTTTTGAATTTAGCATTTAGAAGTTAAACAATACTCTGCAGACAACATGTTGAACTGAATTCTTCAGTAAGAAGCAGAATGTACAACTGATGTAATAATATATATCAGTAATTCCTAGTGCTAAGGAAAGAACATTATGAAGAAGAGCCGCAGAATCAAAACCAGTGTAATGTTTGCCTTTGTTTTCCAGGGGAAAAATCTAACATGTTACCACAGCATGTGGAAAAAGCTTCTGTGAGAAGCCATCTTTGTTTAAAATCAGGTGGACGTAACACTGTACAGTAACAGGCTGCTTTTGTGCATAGGGTAACTGCAGTGAAGCAATGGATTTACATCACGTGTGAATTATTCCTATTAACTTTCTCTCCGTGAAGTCTCCCATAGATAAGTCATGACTAAATACTACAGAACATGGGATTTAATGGGCAAGCCTTCTCTGAAGGCAAAGCACACTACTGTTAACATAAACACAACGCTTCAAGAATTTGCAAAGGGACAGAAGGCCTCCTCTTACCAGTTCCAAAGACAGGGCATGGGAAGATTTCGCAGTTATCGCCCCAGCCAGCACCCAAGGTACAGCAGCATTCTTGTTTGGTTACATTGGACGTGAGCACGTTGTCACAGAAATTAGCATCATTCAGATTGTAGTAGCACTCCTTCTTTCCATTCTCATGTTGGTCAGCCTCTACTGGTAATTCTAAAGGCGAAAAGAAAATATAAACCACATAAGATGACATGTGACATGATTCAGTATGACAGGAGAATCAGAAGAGCCAAAGCACCTTCACCACAGTGAAGAGCAGCATTACCAAGCAGGGAAAAAATGCTTATGTGCAAATTTGGGGTGAATTTTTTTTGTTCTCGGGAAGAGTGATGGAAGTTGATAACCCTCCTTTGAATTTTTCAGACCTGTTCTCCATCTTGGCCATGAAGGGATTCTTCACGTTTCCACTTCTTTCATTTTCAAGCAATGCATGAACTACCTGCTGCCACACTCAGCTATGTATCGCACCCAACTTGTCATGTACAAATCTGGAAGTTCTTCAGAGCAAACATTACAACCTCATTTTACAGATAGAGGAGCTAAGGCACAAACTGAAGTGGCCTGATTTTCAAAATAATGAGCATTTCCAGCCTCTTTTAATTTCACTGGGAAAAAAGCATGTTCTGCCCTTGAATTCAAGGCCCTTTAAGATTTTTGCAAAAGTAACTGTCAAATGTCAGGCATCCAGCCAAGAAGACAGATTTTCTGCCTTTAGCGGGTCCTCCAACAATACTTATAAGGACTGCAGGCAAAATAATCTCTCCCATAGATCCAATAAAACCCCCTATTAATAGTCAAAGACCTTTCTAAAGCAAAGCACTCGTAAAATACACCAAGAAGCGAGTTTGAAAAGAAACACTTAGTTAAAGCTTCTATATTTGCAGAACTCCATCTATCTAACCTTGCACTTCCACAGAAGCACTCATCAAGAGCTCAGAAGTGGGAACTATCACAAAGAATTGCTATTTGCTCTTGATCAATATGGAAAGATTTTCATAGGTCACCCATAAAGCAACTGAGTTCTAAAATTCCAAATGCTCACATTTATTAATCAAACCTAAAACCTTGTTTAGGAACCTAAGGTAGATAAATCTTGAGGGGACTAGTTTATTTCCTTTTTATCTTGGGAAATTCTTTATGCTTAGTACTTAACAAATGTTTAGTCCACAAAAACTGACTAAAAATTATTGCCTGATGGCTGATTTTCCATTGTTTGATATCTCATTCATTTCTACTCAGGCTCTCACCCAATATGCCAGTCATGAGACATTTCAGGTAACACGTGTGTCCAGGCAGAAATCAAATCCGTGTTTTATACCTGAGTGACAGTGCATTTCAAAATGCTAGAAGACTGGTAAAGACCCAACAGACAGTGGGATTTATTTCTACTTTCCTCAGAAAAGTAACGTCATCTGCTTTGGGAGGTTGGGGGGCTGGCAGACAACTCTATTCAAACTTAGTACAACATTGCCACCTACAAGGCAAACTTTGCTGTTTCACCAACACACCACCAAGCTGTACATTAAGGGGAACACCCAGCTGAGTGCTAATGTCATCTTTGTCAGTTTAGCTTGTGGTTTCCCCTCAGCAGATAATTACCATTGTCCATAACGTGTGGAATTTCATAAAGTGTCGTGGCTTTGTGGCATCGGCTGCTATTCAACAGAACTGCGTTACGACTCCCATGTCACAGAAATGCAACTGAACTAAATCTGTTATCCCAAGGTGAGAAAGCAGTACTTTAGCCACCAAATTATACATTTTCCTTGGCTGTTTGCCATCTATCTAACTGAATCAAAGCCAAATCTTCGAGAGGAGAAAAACCATGGCAGTTTTCATGCTCTCTACCAGAGAAGGAACACCAGAAGCTGCCCCAGGAGGAAGGGGAGACAGTCTCATCATGTCATTGTTTATTCCCATTTTACATATGATGGGTTGGTTTCCCCTCCCATTATCTGTTCAGCAGCTTAAAAGGCTGTTGTTTACACAGCTGTGACTGAGGGTTAGTCAAGCGGGTGTCATGAATGTTTGGAAAGCAAATGAGACATAATTTTTTTTTTTTTTTTAAATCAGGATCAGTCTGTGTCTCCAAGCTTGTAATTTCTCTCTTGTACATTATTAACCATTTAGTAAACAGGTTGTTTGTGAAAGTGGTTCAACTAGATACATTGACAAACTATGTTAAGAAAGAGATACTTATTTTTTGGTATTGTTGTTTCAGGTTTTCTGTTGTTTGAAAATGTAAAATACCTCTCTCCCTAAGGAACACCAGTAAAGGAACGTAATTTTATCAGTTTGTTACAACTGTTCTATTAACAGCTTGTAAGAGAGACTCTAGATAGTTGCCATTATATTGAACTACGAAGTGTTTACTAGAAGTGGATTTATATACCTTAACCTTAATCCAACACTATGCTTCAGTGTGTGTTTGATGCAAAAATATGCATTAATTATATCAGATTCAGTGGATAATCAAGATATTATCATACACCTAGACTTCAGCATACACTTAAATAGTTGCCTTAGTAGTGGCCTCTTGACAACTGTGATCTGAAAAACCCAAAACGTATAAAACTGATGGGATCTTAAATACTGCAACTGTGTTCCAACGCCTCTTATTCACAGGTGGAATCAGTATGGTGGTTGCTGAAGCAAAAAATTGTCATTACAAGTTCAGGACTTCTAAAACCTCAGCAAATACTCTGGCGAGTGAGCAAACAGCTCACAGTAACACATTTCAGAATGCAATTTTAAAAAATTAAAAATAGATTGGGATGTGCCTGTCGTCAGGGTGTACTTGTTTACCTTTCTGAGTTGGCTCCGCACGTGGCAAACTACAACACCTAAGGTGTGCAAGCTATATGGATATACATGCATATGCACAATTCAAGGATTAGTGCAAGCAATGACTATGTTCATAGATGACAAATTCAGATCATTATTTACCTTAGAAAGCCATGCACATATTGTCATTAAAAAAATAATACACAGATGAAAGTTTCCTTTAAAGTCTTAAACTTTAGAAAGCTCTTAAAATTTAGGAAACTGGCTCCAAACCTGCAGAAATAAACCTTGTGATTGTAATAAGTGTCCTAATTTAGCATAATTTAGCCTTTTAAAAAAGTACACAGTCTGAACATGGCTGGATCTTCCAGTGTATGAGAAATTCTTAAGGTTACCTTAGAAACCTTTGTGGGGAGAGCTCCTTACAAACTAATTGCACAGTGTCCTGTAAACTTCCTCAATGTTCTGATGCATGAACAATGCTCTATAGGTAATTAAGTCATTTTTGACAATTATCCCACATCACACGATGTGAGAAAGGTTAATTTCTGAGAGGTAGGTGCTTTTGCAATGATTCAACGGTTGCCTTGTGATTATAACCAAAGTCTAGGCCAAAAATGCCTTACTTCCATGCACGTGCAGTGGAAATCATGCCAAGCATGTAAAAGTCTGCTGGCATTTTACCTGGTGAGGTACGGAAGCGACACTGCCCAGTCATTGGATCGTACTCCTGGTTTTCATCAGAGCACAGGCACAGGAAAGAACCGTCGACATTTTCACACAGGGCTTCGCCACATACTCCACTCAGCATCTCACATTCATTCACATCTGGGGGAAAAAATTCAAAACAAGGACAAATTCAGACCCATTAATGACAGTTTGCTCTTTTGTCTGCTGTATCTGTGCCTATACTGTCTGCCAGGATGCAGATGTGATCTCTGGGGAAGGATTAAAAGCTAATACCTAAGTGGATTCATAAACAAGTAGTCAGTTCTTTGAAATAAAGGCCCCTGAAAGCCACAGTACAGTTTATAGACTATTGGTGCTGGTTAGGTGCTGCTTGTAGACTAGAACACTGGTTTTCATTTTTTTGGGTTTCCTTCTCATTTTTAAATACTTGCTCTTCTTTGTACCCTTTTCCCAGGATTTAAGATTCAGACTCATTTGTTTTCTTAACTTCCTTTATTATTAAACTTCAACTGAACTCAAGGAGCAATATGTGTCTGTTTCAGTGCTATTCGGACTGTACTATGAAAAGGGAATTCCTTTTTCTCCTCAAAAATCCCATTCTCCTCATGGACATTCACTGAATAGTGAATTCCCAAGCCCCACTGCCACCACGTGGCTCTCATGCACGGCTTCACAGCCTGCTCTTGAACCCACAAGGGTTATGCCCAGGTCACCCAGGGATCCCCTGCCAAACACTGCAAATTTACTCTCCCCAAAAACCCTCACGTATTTTTAACTTGGATTCCATACACCTGCTAACTAGCCTACCCTGAAATGCTTTTTTTGGTTAATGGGAGAGTTACCTGCTATTTAAACAAGGGTTACCAGATACTGTTAGGATCACTTTACTCTCTGTTCAATTGCTAAAGTTTACATTTGAAAACTTACTTTGTGTACTAGTGACAGAAACTGAAAATTATAATTTGTATATCACAATTTGGAAATATCTATAATTGAAAGTGGTCTCAAATATGTGAGGCAATGTTTTATTCTTTTTACCTCTTACACAGAAAGTGAAAATCTAGCCATATGACTGAATGCTGATTTTGAGTATTTTTATATAACGTGTTTAAACTTAGGGTTTGCTCAGCACTTATTTTAAAATATACTTAGCTTTTTCTTTACCTTTTTGCCGAATTCCTGTCATAAGGAATAAGCCTTTGGGAAATGCTGCATGGCCAGGAGCTTAAGAGACTTATTCCTAAACCTGGATTGGTAGATAACTTGCATCTAAACTTGTAAAACTATTTTACATAATAGGGTATATACAGGAAAAAAATCCTAAGACATTATTATAAGGTGCAGAATCACTTCACTGGCAACTCAAAATTAAATCGAGTTTCACACCAGTTTTTACTTTCCTTTTTCTTTTTTCCTTTGCTTCATTTGTTTTCATCCATGAAAAGTTACTGTATGCAAAAAAATACAGTGGTATGTTGCAAATTAAGTGCCAAATAGCATAAATAATGTAATAAAATTATTTAATATATTAGAAAACACATACAAACACTTCTCACTCCTCTTCTCTGCTTGGTATTCTGTTTAGGTCTGTTCCTGGTAAACGTCGTTTCATCCTGAGTCTGGCCTGAAGATATTTTTTAGTGAAAACTGCTACTAATAATTTTCTATGAGAAACTTGCGTTGCCTCAGATGGTTCTCAGGTCCAACCATCACTATTAACAACAGATCTGGAAACCTATTACTCACAAGAGAAACGTGCAGTATTTACTTATCTACAAATAGCTCACATCTATTCATGGTGATGGGGTCTTCCCTGGAGCTCAAAGCCAATGTTAAAATCTGTTCAAACACGCTGTGCCCAGGGAGGCATGGCAGCCAACTCAGACTGGCTGTACCACATGCCAGGCGTTATTTCCTGCAGGGGGTAGTGCAGAATTCTGGTTGTTCAGCTAAGAGACTAAACAGATGTTGCATTTAAAAAGGCTAAAGTACTAAATTCAATCTGTTCTGATTTATATTTGTGAATGGTCCCAATGTGTAGAAATGGTGGGTTTTCTTGTTTCTGTTATAAGAGATAACATGAGTGGCTCAGCTTATTTGCTGTTTTCATTCAATCCAAATAACTGTTTCTCATTAACCACATAGACAGTTAAGTTTCCATCTGGCACAAAGCTCAATGAGTACAGCACAGCTCAACTTGATTTTCCTAGTAAGTGGTACAACTTCGACAAAATGATGGAAAACAAGAATGTTCTTGTGAAAAAATACATTTTGCTCTTATGCTGCTTTTTAATCACCAGAACCTCACAGGAAAGGCTGCGTGCACCTAAGAACTCACCTGTACACCCTTGCCCATCCTGTAAGTCCTGATACCCTTGGTAACAGAGGCAGCGGTAGGAGCCGTCCATATTTTCACAGAACCCGTGACTGCCACATATTGTGCCATTCACGCATTCATCGACATCTGGAAGGAAGAATTTTAACATCAGACAAGCTGTGTGATTAACATCAGACAAGCTGTGTGACAGTCAAAGGCAGAGAGTCAGTCATGAAGGGTGCAGGGAAACAACATGAGGGCCATTTTTGCAAACAGACGCAGCGATGTCCCTCTATACATTGAGAAGGAAAACACAAAGTTCAAGATACAAAAATTTAATGTAAGCACATGTACCATTTAAGAAATTGTTTCAGTGTTACCTTTGCAGGAAATATGTCAGGCACTGGTTTTGGTCAACTGTTGCCCAGCTGTTTCATCAAATCTGTCAATCATGGCACTACACTACATGCCACAGAGTAAGTCATTGTTTAAATACAACCATCTCTCTGACTGACTTACAGATTCTGCCAGTGCAGCATTACACAATCTCCAACATGTGTGAAATGGTACCCGCTGCGCCTACAAGGAGGGTTCAAGGCTATGGTTGCATCCATTCCGCCAAAGTGCTGAACAGCTCTCATGCCAGCTCACAGCACAGAAGAGAATTTCATGGTGTAACTGGTACATAGCTGTGGACCAAACCTTCTGGATTTAATCCTGTAATTCTACACCTGTGAATAATCTTACTCGGGTAGGCAAAACAATTACATTGCCTGCATGCTTCCTGTACTGGCCCTTTCATTTGTAGTCCCCGTTTGTGGTTTAGTGGCCTTAAGAGTCACTCGCATGAGTAAGTCTGTTCTTGGCCTCAGCTGCCCAACAAGCTATAACAAAGCAGAGCTGTTTGTGGCAGAACGTGGTTTATTTTTGTAAGTGTATTACAAGTGCAAGAAATGTATTATTTTTATCTTGACTCAAAGTAAGACCTAAACCCCAGGCTCTAACCATCTGTGGTCATCAGAGATGTCATGGTGTGTTTTTCAGGAGGAAGAACATTAACTGAAACTGGGAACCTGCCAGGACACTGGGATTAGTACCTTCTGCCTTCTAAATTCCTCTGCAGTTTGAAGCAGAGAAATTATTGCCATACTTCTTTCCGAGAAACCATTATAACCGTTAGGTAAGGCTGCTGTCCGCTTGGCATTACCTTCTGCACTGTGCCTCAGGGGTAATTACATTTTAAATGGTGAATAAAGTGACTTGCTTTTGATTTATCTGAGTATTAGCTATGATCGTTAACTCCGTACTTTAGAGTAGACCTTCATGTGATGGAGCCAGTGAAGGCCTTGGGCATTCACCGAGCTAAAAAGCTCTGAGGACTGAATCCTGCACTGCCACAGAGCGAGGGCTTCTTCAAATGGGTGAGCAGCACTGCTGCTTGGTATCTTTCTGAAACGAAAGAGTAGGACTCAAATGTAACCCTACCTACTCCTCCAGCTCTTCACAGTGCCTAGAAAAGTGAGCAAAGGTGCACCTTGTTCTTCTCCTGACAGTGTTACCCAACAAGGACATTTTCACTTTCGATCGTGTCTTAACGCTCAGCTGAAAGAGAGGCCTTGGACTTTGAAGCACATGGTCACAGCTCCCCAGGCTAGCCAGATTTGAGCAGCACATCATCACCGTTCACACAGGTTACCTGTTGTGCTGGCCTCTGGCTCCCCAAGTGCTCAAATTCATCCACACATACCTCTGCCTGCTGCAGGGAGAGGCTTTTTCGGGAGTCTGGAGAAACAGCTTTTTCTATGTGCCGCAGTTGGGGTTTGGACAGGTTTAGAATGACACATAGATTTTTAAGGCCAAAAGAGAGACTATCCACAACCTCTTAAATGGGTTAAAACCCCCTTCCTCTGGCAATTTCCACACCAATAGAGTAAATTGTGGAATTTTAACGCCTTTTTCAGAATGACATCTTATTTCACTTTAGGATGTTCAAGCGATGGAAATCTAACCTCTTCTACTGAATTGATCCACTGGTTAACAACATTGAGCTAAGATACAAAATTCTTGCAAAAAACGTAGGTACTACATACACTGAAATCTAAGAGACAATAGATGAGTAAAATTGATAATTATATAAAAAAAAGTACCTGCAGATGGAATTGGCAGAATAATTTATTTCATTTGTTGGTTTGTCAATAATGGTTTTAATGGCCTTTATATCTTGATTTGTTAAGTAAAGGAAATATATTGAAGGAATTTATCCTAAGGTTATTTGTACTTGACAAAGAATACGATAGCTCATATTTTAATTCTCAAGGAACTAAATATGAAAATTTCAGTGGTTTCTACATACTGAACTTACTGAAATCTACCACAAACACTCCCTAGTAGAATTAATTCAGCAACAAGAGTAAGCAATATATCTGTGCTGAAGACACTGTCAAAGGTGCAAGGACAAGTATCATCTTTGATACCCTTTTCCAGTCACCATGACAGAATTATAAAAAGATGCATATGGAGTTATTAGGAAGAGGACAACACAAATTCTTTAATGTTTCTGGTCCTTCCCTCTTGCTACTGTGCACTATGCCTGCATAATGTTATCTTATTTTAATATTTAGTCTCATGTGATCATCAGTTTCACATATCTGGTAAAAAACATTTGAATACTCTCTTATTCAGAAAACCTTGTTAAGAAAAGTTAAGAAAAGGAATTCAAAATGAGTGAACAATAGTGGACTCACAGCCAGGAATTTATGACAACAGACAACAACGCAGTGTTTGTATCTTCAGTGGCCAACTATAGTTTAATAAGAAGAGTTCCTGAGCCACAGGACGTTTACTCTGTTAAAAGCCCAGACAGAAGAAACTACAACTGGGGATTTTAGAATTACCTAAATTACAGCATTTCTTTTACTTAATACCTAAAGGCAACAGATAGGGTAATGGAACACACAGCTGGTTCTCCAAAGGTAAACTGAGGTCATTGACTGAAAAGCTGCAGAAATAAACCTTGCGATTGCAGCAAGTGTCCTAATTTACCATACAATGTAGGCACAGAAGACGGTTTTTGTTTTTAAAAAGTACAGTCTGAACATGACTGGATCTTTCAGGGTATGAGAAATTACAGAGAAGGTCTAAGCACCAAATATTTTCCCTTGTCTAGACAGCTCACTCAGAGGACTCCTGTTTTACAGCCGGAAAGGGCATTTGTTTCTTTAATCACCCTGTGAAGTACGAGATATGTAATCAGTGATTCTCTTGCTATATGGAGTCAAAGCAAGGGGAAAAACTAAATGTGAAACTTATATCCTAGGTCTGTGCAGTACTAAAGCAGTTCTCTGTAATTACAGCCTGGTTTAGAGTCTATGACTCAGTGCTGCCTGCTTTCATCAAAACTCCTTTGATCTAACATCAGCAGGATCTAAAGAAAGGCAAAACGTGTGTGCGCAAGCACGCTCCTTCTCAGCTCAACCTGAACAAGATAAGGCATACTTAACCTCAGACATGATATTTACATCTAGCTGAAATCTACTTACATGGCTATCTGGAAGAGGAACTGTTTCCTAGGGCAGTTCTGTGCCGTGCTTAAGGGAACAGAGCTCTGATTCCAAGACTTCCAGGGCTGCCCATAACACTCATACATTAAAAAAAAAAAATCACTGTCATGGGAAAGCTAGAAAAATGAATATCGGAATAAAGACTCCAGCCATCTAGAGGCCATAACACTGGATGGTCATTCCAACATTTTGATGATGTGAGTTAGAAAAAGATTCTTGTTTGTCCCTTTGTGTTCTTATGTCTCTAGCCAGCATCTGAGTAAGAAGTAGCTGATGCTCTAAAACATCTCTATGGGCAAAAGCGAGAAGGTTGGTAAAGTCTGTGATTACTCTTTGTGAAACAAGTGGGTAGCTCACAGGGCCACGCTCTGGAGATGCATACTTGAATCTATGTTTGGCAGAAGCCTGCGCTTTGTTACTTCAGTGTTTAACCAGAGATTTGAGGAACCTGTCTACTATATAAAACTCGCTCCATGTAACAGACAATACTCTATACCAAAAGGAGATCTAGATATACCATACACTTTTCTTAAAGCTGCCTTGTCTTCTCAAGGCCGCACCTTGAGTACTGTGTTCAGTTTTGGGCACCTCAGTATAAGACAGATATCGAGGTGTTGGAGCGAGTGCAGAGGAGGGCAACAAAGCTGGTGAAGGGCCTGGAGAACAGACGTTATGAGGAGCAATTGAGGGAGCTGGGGCTGTTCAGTCTGACGAAGAGAAGGCTGACGGGGGATCTCATCATGCTCTACAATTACTTGAAAGGACATTGTAGAGAGGTTGGTGCTGGTCTCTTCTCACAGGTAATTAGGGACAGAACGAGGGGGAATGGCTTCAAGTTGCAACAGGGCATGTTTAGGCTGGACATTAGGAAGAAATTCTTCACAGAAAGAGTGGTCAGAGACTGGAATAGACTGCCTAGGGAGGTGGTTGAGTCGCCATCCCTGGATGTGTTCAAGTGTTGTTTAGATGTGGTGTTGGGTGATATGGTTTAGGGGTGACCTTGTACTGTAGGATTAATGGTTGGACTCGATGATCCCAAGGGTCTTTTCCAACCTGAATTGTTCTACGATTCTATATCTGGGCAGAATTATAGTTGTTACATCAAACATCTACTCTCTCAAAATGTCTTTGGTTTCCGAGGTAAGAATTACGTGCTTTTCACAGCTCTGCTCTTTGTTTCCCTGATTTTCAGACTTCTTAAATACACGGTCATGTTAAACCACGGACAATGTAGCATCTTTGTGTACAGATTTGTAAATTATTCTTTGATCACAGAATTATCTGTGGATGCTCTGTGCAAGCATCCAAAAGGCTCAGACCGGTGACTTATTCAGTGGGCAGGGAAAGGAGAACAGGATACAAGACAGGAAGTGGGGGGAAAGCAAGAAGCAGAGATCAGAGAGCTCTGGTGGGATGTGTACCTTTTTTTTGAGTACCTGTTGAGGTTGACAGTGAAGTCCATGGCTTGAAGCAGAGAGAGGAAAAAGTGAGAGAGCCACTGAGAGCCACGGGAGTGGACATGGAGGCAAAAGGAGTGCTCTGGGTAGGGTATTGACTTAGGCATCAGAGAACCTCTAAATTGAGTTTTTGCCAAGAGAGCTGACTAGCAGCCAACTGGGTAAAGTGCTGCCTTCACAGGAACCCTGGAGAGCCTGAGAGAGCTAGGGAGCGCTCCAAGAGCCTCCTGACAGAGAGTTGGATGCAGCCAAACCGCTGAGCCTGGGGCAGGTGGCAGTGGAATGTCACCGCTACAACAAATGTTTGTCTACACCTTGGAAGAAGACACTGTCTCCACAGCTGTTCAGTTTACTTTGGCCAATGGCCATAAAAGTTCCATACCAAACTGAACCACGTGGGGTTTTAAGTGCTTTATGTTGTTGTTTCGGATTTTCAAAAAAAATCGAGTCAAACTCACACAAAACCAGTCTGCAGATATGGAAAATCTGCTCCCCAGGTACTGAGAGGTTTCTGAAAACAGCAAAATCTCCTGAGGTTCTTTCTCTGATGACATAAACAGTTATTCTCACTCAACTAGAATTAAAGTCACAGAGGCACCTAGTGTAAAAAACAGTAGCTCCTGCGGCTGGAAGCCACATCCCTTCTCAATACCTGGAATGTCACATGTTCCTTTTGTTTCGTCTTGCCTTTTCACATGAAGCTGACACCACTACAAATATTAACACTGACACCATGAGTGCTCCCTTCAAATGTGGGTTCTCTCATCTCTAGAACTGTTTTTATTAAAATGACAGAATGGAGAAACTAATCATGGTGGAAGTGCTGTTGCTTCAGAAGACTAGAAGTACCCTTGCTTTGCCAAGTTATTAAAATACTTTTCCAAGTGCTGAATATAAAGTCTGATCTGTATTCCATACACACCACCAATTACTTGTGAAGCACGCTCAACTGGTTTTCTACTTGCCTTATTCTTCATTAAAAAGTTCCAAAACTACTCACAATTCTGGAAATAAGATCTTGCGATTTCATCTTTTTCTATTTAGTAAAAGTTTGGGCTTTTTGTTCTAATGGAGATTAACTCTGTACTACTTCATCATATGAGGTGGTAACCCTTCCCTGGGAACTGGGCTACTTTATTAACTGTCAGATATCCAGACAGAGGGGGTCATTGTTTCTGGTACATCCTCTAACATTAGATGTCAGTAACTTTTTTTTTTTTTTTAAAAAGTTGTGTTAATATTCAGTTCTGTCTTTTTTAATTTCTGAGAGTTTGATTTCACAAGGTTAATAAGTGTTCTTCTATCTTTGGTTTGGAATAAAGTGTTTGGTTCTGCTAAGAGCACACTGCATTCTTCTCTGACCACTTTTTTTTTTTTAGTTATGCTCAACAGTGAGGCAAAACACCTGCTACTACTTTTCTTGCAGAAAATTGAAGATATTTAACCATATCCTTCCTAAACACTGGGTGAAATGTGCACATGCTGCCAAAAGACTCCATGAACATGCTCTGGAATTATCCCCATTACTTGTAATAACAAAACACTGCCTTGTCTGTCAATCACTGGAGTTACTCATATTTATTCTCTCTAGCCTATCTGACCAAGCTTTTGTCTCAGCAGTAGGAGAATGTTTCTTTCAACTTATGCCATGATAACAAAATAAAGTAAATGTTTAAGGAGGAAAAAGCACCAAAAATACCGCAGGACTTTTTTTTTAGTTGTCAATAGTGTGTTTGATGTCATACTGTATCTCAACATACAGCACTTAATTCCCTTACATCAACAAAACAGTATTGTTGCCAGTTAATATTTCAGTTAATTAGATATTATATTACTAACTATATAGTAGGTTATATGCCAGCTTGAATAATAATGCTGCAATGCTGTTTTTCCTCCAGTAAAAGTAGGGGGAGTAATGCAGAAGTCAGACACAAGTTTCGATACATCTCCTCCACTGAAGAATCTTATCACTATCCCTAAGGGAACGAGGAGAAGAGCTGGCCCATGAAAGCCAGGGACACACAGATTTACTGCCCTATCACCTGGGCTAGAGAACAGCTTGCTTGCTTCTTCATTGCCCGAGATTCACTAGCTATAGGTTTTAACACCAAACTATCATCTGCTCAGTGCTTCTCCTCCGCACGCATCCTGCCAATCTATTACCATGTAATTCTTGCCCCTTCTGACCTTTTCCCACAAAGTTTTTGTCTTGAACAGTCCTCTCATCCATAACAACAGCCCTTCCTCATCCAGTCAGAGGAATTTTTGTTTTCCGTCAGCATCACTGACTACAGAAAGCCACGTATCTTCTTGGTATCGCTGAGCACAATCTCATATTTTAAATCCAGTATAGGAGTCACCATCAAAAGCAAGTATCTGCGTTCCATTGGCAACAGGACATTTTCATGCTCTAATCAAATGAAAATCTCTAGTTACACCTAAATTTGAGGCTCCTGGTTGACGTTTCGCACCAGTGTTATTACTGGAGCAGCTTTTACAACCTTATATGAAAAGTACTGGTATAAGCATACCTGCACACATGAAGAATAAGCTGATTTTAACAGTGCGAAGATCTAATTACTGCTATTTATTGAGTTTTGGCCATTTCAAAATGCTTGAGGGTTCTACGACAGATATTACCACAATTTTTCACTGGAGTTACTTCTGTGGTATGAATGCTTCTGCATTTTTATTTTTTTTTTAAAAAAAGAAGTATTGACAAACAAAGTTCTGTTGTCTCACACGCAGCAATGAGAACATTCCAGTAGCTCAGGTTTGCGGCTAATGCACTTAAGAAGCTTTAAATGAAATAATCCTAAATATTTATGTCAGGAAGGTATGAAACTTACCAGAAGCCTGAGTTCCAAACTCACTTTACATGCATTTTGTATATATTTACGCCTCCCACCCTTGCTAGAAAATAGAAATAATTTTCAATCTGTGAATAGATTTTCACATTATTATAGAGGTCCACTGGTTTTATGTATCTGAAAAGTATCATTCCCTCCTTTGTCACTGTTTGCCCTAGTTAGTATTCTTTCTTTTTCTGTAATTTATTTTCCTCAAAAACATACAATCCAATGTCAAGATAGCAAAATAATTAGAAATCAAGAAAAGTAAAACACAGCTCTCAATGGACATTAACTCCATTAGGCTGCCCATTTTGTACATTTCCTGTTATACGCACGATTCCAACAGCAACATGGCACACTGGGCGTTTATGAGAAAAAGAGCAAAGAGCCCTTAAGGTGGCAGATTGTGGAGTTAACAGTGATTTGGGGTATTAGACCCAAACTGACGATGTTTCCCTCTCAACTAATAGCAAATCAACGGGAATGCATTGTTGTAACTTATCTCACCGTCGCACGTTCGGCCATCAGCAGAGACAGAGAAGCCCCCCTCGCAGATGCACTGGTAGGAACCATCCGTGTTGAGGCACTCTCCGTGAGGTGAACACAGGTCAGATCTCTCACATTCATTGATGTCTGACAACACAGGGAACATTATTAGCTTTGCAAATTGCAATAACCTTAATATTAAGCCCAAGCTCAGTTAGTCTCAAAAGCAACTTTTATTCCCAGCTATGTAAACAGGGCTCATTTACCAGAGTAACCAAACCTTTTGGGATCATTCTGAAGCTCTATATAGGCATCAGTATGCTCTGCTGCTCATACTCTCACTATGTCACTCTGCCATGAGTATGAGCAGATGAGAGTGATTTGTGAGATACTAGGATAAGCCCCACACCAGCCAACACTTCTTTTGAATTAGAGGAATTCTCAGATGGCTCCATGTCACTGCTTTTCGACTGCTGCATGCTGGTCAACTTGTGCATCTGGCTCCACGTGTTACCAGAGTGGCTGGAGCTGCATCTTTTCCAGCAGCCTGATTTTATATAATATAAAGCCAAATGCTCTTTTTTGCTCATGAGGAATGGGAATGGAGCAAAAAGGTTACTATATAAAACTCTGTCATCATTGCTTTTATTTTTTAAGCTTAGAAAACATTTTTCAAATGCTGCCTTTCAAGCCTGTGAATCTTAAAAACAAGTATGTTTTTCTGAATGATGTCTCATCTTAACAACAAAAAATGCCATCAGAACTCAAGGACTGCAGGCATTCATTAAGGAGGTACCACTTTTACATGAATTACTATTCACATTGTAATCGCACTTTTGTACTTTACTTTACAAAAACCTATTCAGAAGTTTTCAGTGCCATGCTGAGATCAAACATAAATTTACAAACAAAACTTACACACATGGTTCATTCGTCACAGATACTGGAATTTCTTATGCTTAACTGTGTCTTTTGTTGCTTAGATTCTGGTTGTTATTATAGCCATATAAGATGCATCAAAGCAGACAGTAATTTTGATAAGACTAGAGAAATTCTGATCTCAATACCATCATTTCAAGAGCCATGACATCCATTATAGAATTTTCTTTAGATACAGACTGATTCTGTGTGTAAACATGAAGGCCAGTGTCCTAAAGTCATGGCACAAATGCAGAAATAAGAGGCAGCTCAGGGAAGGGTACCATCTGGATGAGGTTAACATGGAAAAGTTAGTGTGTTGCGCTTCACACAACACCTACACGTATGAAGTTTTCCCTGAATTCATAGTAAATGCAGACCAACGACATAGTCAGAAAGTCAGTTAAGGTGGCAGATCAGCAATGACAAGGACAGTATGGTATCTTCTCGGTCTTGAGAACAGTGTGAGTTGCAAGCTGTCAGTTTCTTAAAAGTGCCAGAAAAATACTGGCAAATCAAATCAAACCAGCTGATTACACAAGGTAGAATGATGTATTGAAAGGCAGAAAAACAAAATTAACAATGTTAGGGAAATAGAGTATATATTTGTCTAAAAGAGCAAACTGCACATTTTCTAATGCTTTGGACCCTTTTCAACTTTGCCCTTTACCAAAAATGCATGTTCCTAATTTCTAGTCTAGTCCAGACTCAACTTGCAGACAGCTTAATTCGAGAGCTCTCTACTTTCAGTTACGGTTTCCTTTAAGCATAATACAGCTACGAACAAGTCACCTCTCACTTTTTTCTTCAACAAAATAAACCACTTAAAAGCATTCAATTCATTTCTCGCTAGGCCACCAGGTTTTTTGGCTTCATCTCTGACTCTCCTCAGTTGATCAGCATCCATTTTGAGTTGCCGGCACCAGAACGTCAGCGTACGATAATGTGCCAAGGGCAGTTTTATGAGTACAAAACAGAGGTAAACAAACCTAGCTGGATGTTCTGATTTCCCACCTTCTGCGGCACGTATTAGTCCTACTGGCCCCAGGGTTGCCCTGGAAGCTCAAACTTGGCTCACTGTCTCTAAGCCTCAAATCCTTCTCAGGGATTGTGTCCTGGAAGGAAATCCACTGTCCTACAAGCACAACTGAGATTCCTTCTTCAAGATAGAACTGCACCTATTGAAATGCATGTTGTTTGCTCATACCCAGTGCACCATGTGATCAAGATCACTCTGCGCTAGTGGCCTATTATCTTGGTGTTTTACTGTGCCCCTTATCTCTCCAGGTAAATTCTCTTAAAACTTTTATGTTTTTTCTTCCTGTTACAGCACTTTGATAGAACCGACTTTCAGTCATTTAAAAATGTCTCAGTTTAGCTGCTGCTTGAAATATTTTGAAGGTATTGTTGAAATGTAAAGGAGTCATCATTTATGATGCAAGAATAGCTAGCTTTTTTCAGTACAAAATACTGAACAAGAAAACACACTGAAGATATTCACCTTTGACAAAAATTCTACTATTGCACCCTGTAACAGCTTAACAACAAGTAGTCAACACAGTAAAAAAATTCTAACCATACTTAAATCTGCTGGCCAAAGATCTCCCTTCATGTTCTTTTCTGTATCCAGGTCTTTGTTATTCTAACTTGGCAGTATTCATTGTATAAACTCCCCCCTTTTTCCATTTGTTTTGATCTTGATCTGACTATTTTTCAAGCAGTTTCACACTTTCTAAAGCAAGTTGTTATTTTTCAGTGTTGGTGGTTGTCTTGCTCTAAAGTGTGGCACTCTTACGTGAAAATATTTCCAATTTTCATCCACGTTTTTCTGTTGAAAATAGTGTTTATACTATCTGTGCCTTAGCTGGTTCACAAAGGCTTTCAGTTTTATTATATTTACCCATTTAAAACATGAAGCCTATACACTACTATTTTACATACTGGAGTGAAAAGAATAGAGTGGACTCAATAGCTTGTGATCAATTCTCTTACACCTGCTAAAGCAAGGTCTAATACAGCACTTCCATATGTTGAAAGCAATTATTTCCTGAAACAGAAAGCAGTCGCTTAGAAAACTCAGAACTTTTAGGGGCATTTATTGTTGGTTGCACAAGATCTTCAACACCACTCGGCTGGAATCCAGTCTCTCAGCTCAAGTATAAACTGAGCAGAAGAGAGCAGTCGAAGCGAAGCCCAGTCTCCTGGTCCTGCAGTCATTTAGAGCATGAACATGCTATCACTTTCCAGCTCTTACGCACCATGGGTCTCGTCTCATAAAAACAGATGGCAAAATGGAGTTGTGAGGCATGCCTGGGTTTTGTGCCAACATGGAGCTGGGATTGTGCAGAACTAAAAACTGGGAAGTATTTTTCTGGGTTTGGCAATGCTTACTCAGCCTTAGATAACATATTGTCTTCCTCACCACGTATCCTCCACAAAGCACTGAAAGTGGTTTAGAGGTGAGAGAGGTTTATCTAACGTGACTTGATAAACTACATTGCCCTTTCTGCTATGTCACTGGTTCCCAAACATGGAGGGTTCTCTCAAGAGAAATGTATTCAGGATTTGGGAAAATGCAGCATTGCATGTCTAATACAAATTCTCACTCAAGTTATGAAGGCTGAGATTTCAGCCTCTTGAAATAATTTCTCAGTTACAGAGAGCAACACAAAATGAGAAGAGTAAGAAAGTATTACAAATGATAAATGAGTTTCTCTTGCCTGTCATGATCTGTAACTATCACAAGGTATGCTTATAAACTTGCACACTTAAAATTATGATCCAGGTATTTTTACAGCTATTTCATACCTTGACATCCCCTATTTGGTATCTGCTGGAAACCTTCTGGACAAGTGCATTTGTAAGACCCATCAGTATTCATGCAGGTTCCTCCAAAGCAAACATCACTGTCTTGAAGGCATTCATCAACATCTGAAATAAAAATGCAACTGAATTAGTAGATGATGTGAAAACTAATGGAACTCTTAATAGTGATACTTTGACACTAAGGTAGCAACTTGAAGCTACAATGCTCTTCATTAACTGTGTGCATGTGTGGAAATCAAGTTTACAACATTTCAGGATGTCCTTTTAATTTCCCTTTCATCATATCAAACTTATTGTATTTGAATTTGTATGTCATTTGTTCCTAGCAAATATGTCTAATGTGCCATCTGCATCCCTCATGAAAGCAATCATAACAATCTCTACTGTAACGGTGACTGTGGTGTTACCGTAGCGCAGTTAAAAAGGAATCCAAGCAGCTGCATGTTTAGAAGACACTCCTAATGCAAATGTGTAACTTCCAGTATGCATCTCTGGACATGTTTAGACTACTACGCAGCGATCTCTGAGCTGTAAGTGACCTCACTCACTCATCCCCAGAGCATGGGCAAGCCCCAGCATGGCTGATGTGTCACTCCAGACGAGATGTGCCTGCAGAGACTCCTCCGAGGACAGGCAGGAGGCTTGTACGACAGGGATGGCACCGGGCGGTACGGCTGCGTCAGCAGTTACTCTCGTCAGGCAGTTCATGCGATACAGCCGTTCCGCAGGCTTAGCAGCTTGGTCATGAAGTTGAAGAGCAGCTTTTGCACTGTGCTGTGCCCCAGCCATAAAGCCAGCTTCAGAATCGGGACAGAAGGGTCTGGGTCCCGCTGCCCTAACACCCTGTTCCCAGCATTGGGCCTCAGGCCTGTAGACTCTGCCTGAGTGCCTTGACATCCATGGGATAAATGTGCTGACTGACAGACAGCAGGGCAAGTTTCACAACACAAACTAAACACAAAGTAATCAAGTATTTCAAGGACACCTAAAGTCTTTTCTTCTCATCATCTTTCAAAGGGCTTAAAGGCAGTCCAGCATAGGAAACAGGGCACAGCTTCTGTGGGGAGAGGATTTGCTCAGCAAGCACCTACATTCCAGTGATATTATACAGTTTTTTTCGCTACAGCTAAAGATCACAAGGCATTTGATAACTGTGCCTTTAAGTTTTAAAAGCAAATAGAAAACAGAGACTCAGATAAAAGAAGCATTTTGTAAGCAAGTTTCCTCTGCCTCCGCAGTGCCCTATCTCTTAATTCACCAAGTCTATTGCTCTGATAATGTAGATAGTTTCCTTTGAAAAACAGTTATCAAAGACTTTTTCCACTGTCTGATTATTCTGATTGCTTAAGCATGAGCTTTAGCTGATTAGAATTGTAACCTACTCCTGCATTGCAGGAATGAATAACAATTGTAATTAGAAAAGAGGATGTGACCTCATTTCTACACTTATCTTTGGAAAGTTCACACCGTATCAGAGTGCAACTATTCTTGGGATTTAATCTCTTTGATAAAAATAAGAAATAGGGATATCTTTCTTACATAAATGAATGTTATTGTAGATAAAACTGCCCTTAATGTTGACAAAGTTCTGAACTTTTGATAACCATGTTTTATAGTAATTTTCAACTGACAAATAAATCATGTTTTATTTAATATGGCGATTAATTATGACTAGGAGCATGAGAAAAAATTAATGACTCCCTCACACTGACTTAATGCCAAGTCTCACAACAAGAAGGTGTGTTTGGCCAAATGCAGTCAAAATGTATTATTTTGCATACAGGATGCTAACCTCCCTTTCTCTGATGCAACTCATCACAGGTCCTATGGTTGCTGCACAAGAATCTCCAGAAAAATCAGCGACAGTAACTCACGCGTGAGCTGTTCAGTGCTTTTTACCACCCTTTACACATGCCTGTCTAGAACAGTGATAAGAAGCTGTGTGTTCCATAGTATCAGCAGTGACAGAAACCACACCAGAGACTGGAAAGCTTTTCTATGATAATACTACAGTGAGATAAGGAAGCAACTGAGGTACAATCTTTTCTGGAGTTCATCAGTAAGTCATCTTACATGCTCAAGGCAACCATGAGCAGTGCCACGTGTATCACATCAGGCGGCAGAGCTCACGATGGACAAGAGGGAGCAACTTTTAAATACTTAATCTGAAAAAAATCTATTTGCCAATTACTGGACAATCAAATTGTTCTACTTGAGATAAGAGAACGTTTCATTTTTCTCTAACAACAGCATTTCCCCTACATTTACTGTACATTTCACCTCTTACTTTTGTTTTTACAAACTCAGTATTGCAGACTGCCTTCTGAGACAGTGCAAGCTGTGAGCTCCAGCAGTTTCCCCTGGAGCTCATCTTACACTACATATTTTCATCGGCCTATACACATGTGGGACTGTGGTGGCTGGCTACAGGTTCCCAAAACCAGCTGGAGAAGAAGTTTTAACTTAGCAGGCCCCCATGTGAATAGTGCGTGCTGGCAGAAGTTTTTGTAATACAGAATCTCTGTGTCAGAATTTGAGCAACAAGGTTTGGAAAGACTTAATTGTTTTTGGTAATAACGTCAACTGCTCTTCCAATTGTACTGTTGGAAACACATGCACTGATTTCTTGTGGAAAGATGACAGGGATTATTTCTAAGAATCCATTAAATATGTGTCTGTGTAGGTGGAGACTGTTGATGGTTGGCAGTAAAGTACAGAGGAAGAAAGAAAAGCAACACGTCTTTCTGCCTCATCCTCAAGAGTTCATGCTTGTAGCTGAAATACTCAAGATCTTAGTGAAAAAAATGAATCAGTAGTTTCAGTCCACAAGCTTACCTTCACACTGATCTCTCATAGATGATAAGGTGTAGCCTTGGCTACAAATACATCTGAAAGATCCTTCTGTGTTCCTGCAACGCCCATTCGTACAAAGTGATCGGTGCTGGCATTCATCTATATCTATAGCAGAAGAGACAGTGAAAACATGACACAAGCGAAAATACAAATTACTCATCAAATGGTGCAATAGCCAATTCCGAAGGAAAGAGCAAAGCAGAATGTCAACGTCCAGTACTGCTTTTCTTGGCCCTATTCATTAATAAATTTGGACAGTCGCTATAATGCATAAAAATATAGAAAATTGCAGATTGGATGTTTTCCTTGAGTTGAGATGACTGTATTCAGCCTTGTCTCCTGCAGTGTCAATATACCCCTCAGTGCACAAATGGGTACACACGGACACACACACATGCTGCCTGAGAGCTCCTGTTGTCTCTTTTATATCCAGGAAAGGTAACAAGCCAGCCGATCCAGTGAGTCAGCAAAACCCACAAAATACTTTCCAGCAGGATCACCACCTTTTAACAGGGTGTGGTTTTCAGATGCACACTCACAGGCTGTTGCGCTATTAAGCTGTACCTTAAGGCTCCTTTAAATACTTGCCTTGTAACAGCACTAATCCTCTAAGTATGGGGAAATGTCTCTTTGCTTCCACAACCACTGCTAATCCCTCAGTGCTTCAGTTTCATAAAACCAGAGTCAGCTTGGGTTAACAGATGGACCTGAACTTCAAACCTAAATTTGCCTATGAAAAACTCAATATTGGTCCAGCACTTTTGAGTTCAGAGCAAAGCACATTTCTTGTTTGAGCTAGGAAACCTGTTTTCACTCCCTTACTTATAAAACACTCGTTAAGGAACAGTAATTAAATTGACTGAGAATCATAGAATCGTTTAGGTTGGAAAATACCTTTAAGACCATCAAGCCCAATCATCAACCTAGCGCTGGTAGGTTCTTAGTCACTTCAAGGATTTAGGCATGGCTGAGTGTCTTTCTGAAAATATACTCTAATTCAAACAGGAGAAAGTTACTCAGTGAGCTACTCTGAGTAACTTTCAGGTCTGTGTTATGGCTACATAGTCTGACCACTTGAGTCCCCTGCAACCACAGAAGTGTCCTTTGAATTTAAGGATCACTGAAATTGGTGGGACTGTCTGGAGCATCTGGGCACGTGTATGGGTCCTTACTTTAGAGTGGTGCACTTGAAGAAGAACCGTCTGCACGTGCCAGGTCAGCTCGGCAAGGGCCCTTTTCCATGAAAGGCTTGGAGAAAGCAGTGAAACCCTGTCTACATTCCTCAAGACCAGTCTGCTGTGTGTCCTGGACAGCACACTTAATGCACTCAGGACACTTAACTTTCACTGATGCTGTGTTTCAAACTTCCTGACAAATTTATGTGAATCATCATTTAGTTTCACTGGATTATTTTCAACACTTGCAAGTCTGAAAGTGTTTGGTGCTATATACAGACATATAGGAAAAGGCAGGGGGAAGGGAGAAGAAGACAAAGCAACATCTGACAAGAAATGCTCAGGTTTTGGTGTGTTTCCACAGCTTGGAGACATTCTCTCAGACTTTCACCTTTGGGGAGAGGTCTCAAGAAGTGCCCTCTCCCTAAAGAGAGGAATATTCATGTCTCCTGCACACACTCTAGGTTCTCTCTAAAACTAGTTCGCTCTGACTTTAGACACAATTTTGTTCCACTGGAACAGTATTGGTGGGAATTTTAAAATATGGAAGAAATGTAGAACCTGACACTTTGGAGGTACAGCTACTGTTCTTAGAAATATGACCCCAAAGTCTGTCTCCCTCCTGCATATACTGCTGGAAATGCAGAGACACCGATGCAGGGGTCAGCTCAGTGTGAAGTGATACTGCTGCGCTCCAAGAGGGTGCAGCCTGGGTTTTTTGATTCCACTCACTCGCATGGAAGAAAAAAGAACATCGAAAGAAAAGACATTAAGGCAGTGAAAGTCACTGTTCCTAAACTTCCAAAATGACAGAAATGCCAAGGATTTTGCAGAAATTCGAATTTAGCAGCATAAATATTAATACAAGTTCCTGACTGGCTTTATAACAAATGTCAAAATCTACAACGTGACCACAGAAGCCATAAAATGGAAATACATATTCTTATATTTTTGGTTATTTAGCTTCAGTGTTGTACATTTGGTGTTTCTCCATCAAAAGAAATACTACTAGATGAAAAATATTAACTAAAAGGTACGTGCAACCTTATGAATTTTAATCATATTCTTTCCTACCTTGACACTGATCCTCTGATGCAGAAAGTCTGAAACCTTGGCGACAAATGCATCTGAAAGACCCCTCCACGTTTTCACAACGTCCATTTGTACAGAGATCGCCATACTGACATTCATCTATATCTGTGAATACCAAGAAAGCACAAGTGTACAATAATCTTGGGTACAACCATCTTTCAGCTGAGCTTGAGAATTTATTCCAATTCTGCCATAAGCATGGTTCTAATCAGTTTTCTTGTATATTCTGACCTTGACAATTCTGCAGCAACTCTGATTTTACAAAAAGATTTGAACTTGAGCTTCCTTGTGCTCCAATATTCAACTACACTCAGGGCCCACATGACTGAAACTCTACGTTCAACCCAGTACTGCAAGGACTGCAGTTTAGGCTAGCAAACCTTTTTCTTCCTTCTCTTTTCTTTTTGTAACTAGGGGTTGCACTATGAACTGTGTCCACATCATCCTTACCTGAGTAGGATTGTTTTGCCCATAATTTTCCCACAGTAGCTTAAACCGTTGCAGCTTTAGCTTAGAGAACAGGTCAGCAAGTGCTGTTACGTTCATTCTTGCATTACACAGATTTACCCTTTGGGTACGTACCTGTGACAAAACCACTAGTAGCTGCCAATATCTTGTAACCATTTTTACTAATCCTTTCTGCAAGAAACAGTTCAGAAAAGCAGACACAGCTCATGCTGACAAGGCTGTGTTAGAAGCTGTTTCTGAAACCATTTTAAAAACATGGGCTCTGGCCAGAATCCCCCAACCTGCTGCCTCTGCTTGTTTACCTGGCGCTTTACCTACAGGTGTGAGGGAACAGCAGAACAGACCTCAACCACATTTTCTGCTGTTGAGTTGTTCCTGTTTTATAAAGCTAACTTGATTAATTTACAGGATTTAGAGGAGTTCTCCAGTGCATAACTAAAGACTGCACAAAACACATGTACATGTGAGACCTTCTTGGAAAACAGTTTTCAAGTTAACTTAAAGCAGGCAGGTTCTAAAGGACTTGGCCGATCTCTGAGGAACTTCAGGGGGATTTCTGCACGTTACACAGGTCCCTTTGTAAGCCTAGTCTATACAGGCAACAGGGAACTCAACTAGCTTACGCCTTTATAACAAGAGTTATAAAGCAAAATCTGCATTCCTGGTCATAAGTCATCCTTTATTTACAGGAACACTTGAAAGAAACTTTTTTTTTCTACAAGCTATCCCATAGAGACCTACCTTCATCATTCTCTGAAAGAATGATATTAACTAGATGGGCCACCCTCTTCAGCCAACATGAAAACTGCTACATTACTACTTAAGAATAATTTTCAAGAATTCCTTCTGAATGCAATTTGTATAAATCAACAACGAAAAAAACCAAACCTGTAAACAAATAACAACTTGAGTTATAAACCCAGATAGAATTAATTCAGTATCGAAAAATAATCGGTATTTTCTTTCCCTGGGAGTGGTTTTCACTTAAAAAAATAAAAGGTTAATTTCAAAATTTTATTTATTTAGGGGATGTAGTTATCAGCAAGCAGGTGTCCCTGTTTGTATGGAAAAAGTTGTATTAGTTTCACTGATGCAGAAAAAGAATTACACCTTACTTGCTTTTATGTGCCAAAAATCACATTACTCCAATTATCCTGTCTTTTGCCACCACAAAGCACACAAAATCCGTCAAGATAAAAGAGTAAAACTACCGATTACTTGAGGCACTTGAGCTACTTAGGCAGCTGTAGCACAGGGAGAGCTGGAAAAAGATTAGAGGTCTTTAAATCATCATCATAGCTCCTATTAGCTGCTGGGAATATCTGCAGTAACTATTCTCCGCGTATATATGTTTATCATTTATGTCTCTTTAGAAGCTCTTGTACGATCTGACTTTGACAAAGCCCACCTCTCTCCAAACAGAAATGACAGCTCCTACCTTTCAAAGGATGTACAACTCCCGTTTCCTCATCTGAGCCTCTAACTCTGTGTGTAATGTGCCCTCTTGCAGCCTGGCCAAGAACATGAGGTGGGATCCTCCCAAGAGATGGTGGCACAGAGCCACAGGCACTTTGCTGGGGCAGTTCAGGAGGGGACACTACTTAGATCCTTTTGCAACACTAATTTCTCTGATCCCTGCTGTTGAAGAACGTGCTTGCTCAACAAACACAACCTTTGCTCTCAATGTATGTGATCAATGTTCTGGATTTGAGAATTTGTTAAAAAGCAGAGAACCTAATTCAGCAGTCAGGCAAGAGAATTTCCAACTGAATAACAACCCTGCTTCTTACAGGTTAATTTTCATCTACTTATCTCCAAGTTACTTGAAAATGAAGCTTAAAATATTATTTTTGATTTTTGGATGAGACTTGAAGATCAAGAGACCTCCCCAGAAAGCCATGAACAGAACCTAAAGTCTTCTGAGATGAAGCCCAGAGCTGTAACTGACTCTATGGAAGCTCCCTACAGCAGGACTGGAGTTACATGGACCAGCTTTGCTGACCTCTGTATCAGTTTTGAAATCTTCTGTTGGCATCCCTAATGCTGCACAGGCTGAATTCTGTTAGTTAACCACATAGCTGCAAAACTCCCTCAGTGATAACCATGAGGATGAAGCAGCCCAGAAAGTTTTATCAACATTTTTTTTTTAAACTACTTATCCATTAACACATGGGATTGTGCTCTAGATGCACAAATTACTTTATTGTCATTCTACATCATGATACATCACTTTATTTGAATGTGTAAATGTAGAGAGAAAAGGATGAAAAAAAAAAAATCAGTGATTGCAAGTAATCTTTAAGGAAAGTTATTTCAAGTGGTCCCTGAAGGACCTGGGCAGTAGTAATTTCAAGATAATGAGGGGGCACAGTGTGCAGGTGCCAGTTTTTATTTCTTCCAACATGCATTTCACATTGGATATTCCCATCTAAACCGCAATTAAATGTAAAAATGCCTTTATTAAAAAACAGTGTCAATGCTTCTGGTTTGAAATCCTGCAAGGCAACAGTATCAATAACATCAAAGAACTATAGAATTGTTACATTAGACTTTCCAGAGCATAAAATGCTGGCAGAGGAATAAGATTCGGTAAAAAAACAAAACTGAAAACAGCACTGGGGAAAACCAGCAGAGCTGCGACTGGACTAAACTAACAGCAGAAACAAATTTATGGAACAATGAAATTAAAATATCCTTCATAGATAACTTGGGAAATATTTTTGTTTCCAGTGTATTTAAATTGTACCATAATGCAAAGATACAGACTGAAGACAAACTGTCTGCATTACATTTTCTAAAATGTGTATGGCTCATTTCCAACATGATGTAAGTCTAGGATAAACAGAAAATGAAGACTGATCACATCGCTAATGATGTGAGTGAGATGTCTGGGCTTAGAACATTTCATAAAACAAAGTAAAAAGGGAAATTACATGCAGTAATACAAGGAAAAAAGTATTAGCAACTTGGAACGAAGACTCATCCCTGACATGACCTAGTCCTATTTGTAAATCTGAGCAGAGCAATGACTTTTCTCTCTCATTCTGCTCCTTCTAACTTGGTTAGCAAGAACAAAATAAGTTATGCCATGGCATTTTCAACCAGGCTATTTTCATAAATAGGTACAGAAATCAAGCTTGGTAGTGGGAAATAATGCAAAATTAAGTCTACGTTCCATTTTCAAAAAAAGGAATTTAGTAAGACGAAACTCTTCTTACAGAACACGTGTGCCACATTCTTTTCAAGGGCAGCAGTAATCCAAGCAGGTGGGAGGGAATAAAACAAAGATGAACATGGAGCAATGCGTGCTAAACGAACCACATCTGTTTGTTGTAAACATTTCGTAGCTTGCTATAACTTCATTAAACTCCAGGAAATTACCTGATAAATACATTCCTCCACGATAAGTCAAACGACAAGACCAAATAATACAGCTATGACATGCTGATAAATTGTAGCAGGCAGATGTGCTCAGACAGAAATAAATTCCTAGGATATGCCTTCTTTAGAAAATGAGGTGGTTGAAAACGGTGTAAAACTGTATAGCAAAAGTGGTGGTGAGGCTCTGACAGTCACACCATACATTTTTCAGGTGCTTCACTGCAACCTGGCTTTACTCTTGCTCCACAGATCACAAGTTCATTTGCAGCTGGAGCACAGTAGATGCCCATTTCCCAGAGCTATCTCAACCAAAATAACATTCTTAAACTGCTTTGTGAATTGAACCAAATCACAGCAACTGGGAGTGATTGGGAGATTAGCTATAGATATACACTGACCATCTGACCTACCACAATAATGCAAACACCCCTTATGTAGGTTATTATACAGCTGTTCAGGTAACATAGTTACTCCAACCACCACAAATTACAGGGCATGCATTACAGAGTGGACAGGAGGATTCGCAACAGACAGCAGATACCTCACAACTGAGGTCAAATTTGTTTCTAGCAGTGTCCCAAGGAGTGGCACTCAAAACTGCAAAAGATTATTTCTTTTTGCACAATGAATTAATTTGCTCTCTCTTATCGACATTTCAAAGAGCCAAAACTGATTTGGAAAACAAAATAAAAATCTAGCATTTAAAAACAAATCAACAAAACTAAAACATGAGAAATCCGTCCTAAAAACCTAACCTAAAGTGAGACGAACTGCTTTAAGATTTGCTAATGTTTTGCTGGACGTGTAGATAATTAAGAATCGTTATCAATATGCGTTGTGAGCAAACTCTGATATCCTACTGAACAGCCTGGCACTCACACTGTGTGTTAGTACCTGCACGGTTTTTCCATTTGTTAATACCTCCCAACAATGGTCTACTAGCATTTAACTGATAATACATCCCCTTCAGTTCCCTATTTTCTATTTCAAGAATTTTGTTTTGTGATTACAGTTGTATTGGTTGCAGTCTAGACCTGGCATTCATTTACCTACAGCAAAACACAATCTCCTCATACATACTGTGTCTGAGAACACAAAGGAATTTCAAAGGTCTCATAATTACTGTTGAATGAAATGGGGACCCAGGATACAGTGCTGTCACCAGGTTTTAACAGGGACAGAATAGGAAACACAGCATCTTGGAACAAGGACTGTAACTGGATATACAGAGAGTACTGAACATACCCCGGCACTGTCCATTCCAGCCTCTGAATCCCACTCTGCAAGGAATGCACTGGTAAGAGCCAGGAGCATTAATGCACTGGGCATCTGGACAAGTAGTTGGAGTCCGGCACTCATCGATGTCTTAAAAAAAGAAGATAAAAGAAAATAACAGTCAAAGCCATAACAGAACACTGCACAATAAACTAAGCTGGTTATTCAGACTGTGCTCACGTTACATTTAAAGAGTTGCCGACTTCATCTGTTAAGAGACGCAGGAAGGTACAAGTTCGCACAGATTCATACCAATGAAGGGGAAATTTATTCCTCTAAGAAATAAATTAGATCATAGTATATGCAACTGTACCTCAATTCTCCGTTATAATGCAAATCTTTGGTAGGCCCATCGTAACACACAGAAGGTCATTTTCTGCTCAGGTAAGAGTAACTTTGCTCACGTCACCCCTTTGCCATATTGAAGTTCTAAAGTTCTTCCTACAGTCAGTCTTATGAGACTTTGGAAGTGCATTGCAATAACAGTAAAATTGAAACTCTGGCTTCTCAAAGCAAAGAGGAATTTGGTACTCTCCAGTATCCTAGAGTTACACAGCATCTAAGTATTACATGGACTATACTTTTAATTGTGTGAATGGTGACCAAAGCTGTTTCCAGTGAACAGCATGTTAGCGAGGTCTGGAAGAAAGCACCAGCAACACAGACATCACTGAGGCTGGCAAAGTGTAGGGTGATAGAGGGACTTGCTGCATCAGGAGGGGTCTTGGTTTACAGAATCACAGAATTTTTGAGGCTGGAAAAGACCTCTTGAGATCATCAAGTCCAGCCTATGATTCAACAGCATCGCAACAGCCAGACCACAGCACTGAGCACCACATCCAGCCTCTCCTTAAACACCTCCAGGGACGGTGATTCCACCACTTCCCTGGGCAGTGAATCCCAGTGCCTGAGCACCCTCTCCATGAGGAAGTGCTTCCTGAGATCCAAAACAAGAGACAGTCATGGATCTCATGTCCAGGCTCTGAGTATCTACCAAGAACTTCTTATCCCGCACTGAAGAAATTCACAATACACGCAATATATGGCACCTAAAAGAGACTACATTCAAAAATGACACTCAAAGACAAGCTGCTGTCACGTGACCAATGATCAGAAGATGCTGGAATTAAAACTGTGTGGGCAGCCTCATCCCAGTCTGCTCTCATACTGGAGTATCATTTTAAAACATGGTCTTTAATTACACAATAATTATAATCTCTCCTATCAAATATTTGCTTCCTGCAGTGCAAGAACTAATGAAATCATCAAATTAACATCTGAATTCAGCTTTCTAATCTTCTGTCACTCCCCTGCCCCATGCCTAGCAGTTGTGTCTTCTACAACTAAGGGCTGCTACTCCAGCAGGGGTAGTCTGGAAGCAATTTACTCCTAGTTTTGGAAACAAGTTCACAGAAGGAAAGTAACCTCTAACACTTGTAATTTAACTGGACAATGCTCCAGCCTTCAGAGGCCAGCTCCAAACAACTCGCTGGATGTGGGCAAATGGCAATTTTTTACAGAATCATGACTGTCCAGCTGAGAATACTTTCTCCTAAAACCAGAAACAGGCCCTCTTCAGTCGCTACAACACAGACCTGCAAACACCTCTCAGTGAAACTGCTGCAAGATTTTTTTTGTATTTAATTAAAAAACATCCACTTCTGATGCAACCTGTTCTCAGAACTGCCCGGACTGTATCTGCACTCAAAACAAACAATCTGAATGATGTATTCGGAACCGACATTTTCCACCAAAATAAAGTCTAAATGTCGTAAAGCTTAAAAGAAAAAAAATCACAGGGAAATTTCCTAGGAATACTTGATCATATCCAGTGATATGCAGCGATGCCTGTAACACTGTGCTAAATAAATTACAGAATCTACAACAACAATATATACACACTCTTTACGTTCTCAAGGCCAGGCTCGTGGCAAAACTTGCACGACTATGGCTTGCAGGAAGAATGAAGATGGGGAGTGGAAGTAAACTCGGTGCATTGTGTGCAGCTTGGAGGATTCTTGCCTTTGTTTCTGAAGTGTGGAGGAGGTGGAAAGGAGTTATTTGTGGAATGTGGAATCTGTCAGTAGGGTGACTATAACGTGTAGGTGTAATGACATGGTGAAATGATTCCCTGTATGTGTCACTACCTTGGTTTGATGGATTTAGCATAGGAAAGGGTTTTTCGCTTAAGCAACCTTAAAAATCTTTAAACAGAGAATTTGGTTTCCGAAATAACATATTTTTAGCTAAATAACAGAGGACTAACATCACACTATGTAAAACACAAGCTAATAAAAAATTTGATCCATTGTGATTTTCTGATATTTTGATGTTTTAATCACACATTACCTACTGACAGAGAAGATCTGGAAAAAGTATTTGTAAGAGTGGGTGAAACATTTATTTTAATTAAAAAAAAATATTATCTGAGTAGAAAGAGGAATCTTTCAGTAACACTTAGAGGAGCAAATAAATCCACAGCAGCTTTAAGTTCCTTACTTGCTAGGCAACCGAATGTGTTAGCAATTTCATTCTGTCCTAAGTAACTTAGACTAAAGCATGAACAAAACTGTATTTGAAATGAAATGGATGCTTGTGGGTTTTAGTTCACAATTCAAGCTGAAAATTAAAAAAGAGTAGCAAAAAGGCAAAAATATGACACTGAAAAATAATGGGAAGTTTTGAAGGTCAGATGTCCTAGCATCTCCCGCAACATAAAAATATCTGCTAGATACATATTGCCAAATTAAAAAAAGAGTCAAAGTTATCTTTTGCTAGGTGTTATAATATAGGAAACTATAGGAATCCCCTTGCAGCATCTCAAATCTAAGTAATAGGAATTGAACTGTTGTTCCAGACATCAAATAACTGGAAAGATTAGAGGGTATTCAAAAAGGTTTCTTGTGAGATTAAACCCTCTGAGAATTCTCCCTTTGCAGCTCAAGCCACAGTGCTAAGCCTCCCTTGAAGAGAAGGCAATGTCAACCATTCCAGACAGTGAGAACATTTGGCACTGGTTTTGTGACATGAATAAACGGTAACTTCACTTCATCATCTAGGACATATTGTAGATAAAACAAGCAATGTCCTTTTGATGATTCTTTCCTTTTCAGATGGTATATAAGTGGAAGTTAAATTATCAGAATGCAAATTAAATGAAGACAGTATCTGTGAGAGAAATCCAGCAGTGGGATTAAGCTAGAGAAACTACCTATGGAAAGAAGCACAGAGCAGGATGGGGAAAGGGAACTCTGAACACAACAGATAAAAAACCACTGTGTCAAAACATTCCACCTGAAAGGAAATAAAAGAAATATACCAAGTAGAAAAGTATTACATTTAACATGAGAACACCTCTCTTACATTATTTTAGCGTATCCATCTAATGGCCAGATTTTTTCAAAAATAAAGAAACAGATGGAAAGCTCTCTGTTCAGATCAGAAACATTGGTCAACGTGAACAAATGGCTTGTCCTATTGCAGTTGCTTGGCTTCATAAACTGTTACTGGTGAATAGTCTGAACCTACCTTCACATTCCCCTCTCCTGTTCATTTGGTATCCACTATCACAATATTCACACCTGTATGAGCCAACAGTATTTACACAAAAGCCTTCCCCGCAAGTGTGAGGTCTTGAACATTCATCAAAATCTGCAGATGAAAAAAGAGAAATTGAGAAACTTTGCCTCACCATGAAATTCCTGAATGCTGGGATTTCCTCTGAACTCTGCTTTAATTAAACATAAGTAAGTTTGGATTCTTGAAAGCTGTTTGCAAGACACAGACTTACAGCTGTTCTGACTGAGCAGTTCCCTCTTCATCTCACTGCTTGCAATCGCAGAGAGAATGAGATCTTGAAACAACTGGGCTGCAGGAACGTGGCCAGTGAGTGGCCCTGTGGTTGCAAAGCCAGCGTGTGTCTCTGCCTCTGTGTAGTGCCCAAGGCTGTGCTAACCTGAGGAAGGTCACAGCCAACTCAGGCTGTTTGTATTGCTCTGAAAAGTCCACGTCTGTTTGTGGTTATATATTAAAAATATGATTTGTTACAGCTGCTAGTGATTGAAGGTTTTGGCTATTTTTTCCACCAGAGAAAGTGTTTCTGCTAAACAGTAATTTTCCTAAACAAGCATGATATTGAATAATTTCTTATTTTTCAACAAATAATCATATCGAGAAGTAGTAGGAACTACTCAAGTATTTCCCTCACCACAATATCTGGTAAGAGACAGTTAAAAACACTTCCAGGCATCAGTCCAATGACATTGAGGAAAGAAGCTGAAGAGGGGACTTTAGGGGGTTTTAGATAAGCTTCTTGATTAATTTTATTATTTCCTAAAAAGGACATCAGTAATTACCAACGCAGTCAGTTCCATCTTCACTAGCCATGAATCCAGCTTGGCAAATACACAGGAAACTTCCTTCTGTGTTTTCACAGCGTCCAAGGGAACAGAGATGGGGTGCCTGAATACACTCATTAATATCTGTGAAAGAAATAAAACCGTAAGATGATAGAATAACATATTTACTTGTGATTCTTTCTGTGCATTCTATGCCATGCTTTTGAAAAGACTGAGCTTGTAATTAACTATCAAGAAAGATACATGTTTTTCCCTCTCTTGGAACTGGAAAAAAAAATGGATTAAGTAGTTTTGGATGGAAAAAAACAGTCCTGTTGCCTTAGACGATAAGAATATCACATTGGCCCAAGGAATGTGACGATTATTCCGATCGTTGAGTGCAAGCTGAGCACAAGCTGCAAGCATGGAACATGAACACAGTTTGGATGAAACTAAAGGATTTTAAGTTGCCATTTGGCTGTGTATGTGTGTAAATTATATTTTAATACTGTAGTTGCACCTGACAGCGTATGTATCAATGTGAAGCTACTGAACTCTTGGTAGTGTGAAAAGTTGATAGCATCTAATCTGGCAACATGATATAATAAACTCTTTGTGATTCAAGTTGCAGAGGAACCAGCATACTCTGAATGAAGGAAAGATACTGATACAGTTGCTTCCAAATATGAAACAGCTCATGTAGAGCCAGGCTGGGCTCTGCCTCACGTTTTTCAGAGCCCACTGTTCCAGAACTTACTAGTTTAGAAGGGGATGCAGACCTCATTTGGAAGATCTCCTGTGTGCTTCTGGGACGTTGAAAGGAAAAACCTAACAAAATCACTGGATTTAGACCAGCTGCAGAGCTGGTTGCTGGGTAAATCTTTCTGAGAAACAGGCATTCAGTCATCCTTTCTCCAAACAGAATTGTATTTCTTCAGAGCAGTCTGAATATTTTAGATACCTCATACAAAGCTGAGAAAAAACGGTCTGCCTAATTACTTTTTCACTCGTCTCATGATAAGAAAGGACTTCATTCAATTTAATTAAATCCATGTTCAGTTCTGAGAGGCTGAAAGCCAGCAGATTTTATTTGACATACAAAACCTAGTTTCTGTGTAGTTTGGAAACATTCAGTAGAGGAAGCAACTCCTGACTGCTCTGTAGCATATTTCCCTGACCAGACGCTACATTTCAAACATTTCATAGCATGGTTATTTCAGATTTTTGAAAGCGTCCATTCATACCAGAGCACTTTGTCTGTTGATCATTAAGTCTGTACCCTTCGTAGCAGATGCAAGTGTATCCCACAGGCAAATTAACACAGTGTCCTGCTCCACAGATATCAGGATTAACTGTACATTCGTTGATTTCTAAGCAAATGAAAAAAAAGTTTAATGTTAAACTCTCCCACATAGTTCCGTAAGAGCAAAATATTCTGCAATCCAAGTAGAAAGATGAGGCCTGAAACAACTTTAAATCATGTTTGTAAGTCCTGAGTTTCTCTAATGGATACCTTATCTGGAAGAATCTAGACTTTTCCTAGTGACATAGTCTCATGTCCCATCCATTATCTATAAATGGGTACATAAAAAATAAAGTAAAATGAAGGTACTGTAAAATAAAAATTTATATAATTTAACTTTTGCATTGCAGGTTAAGAAAATAACTGTAGTGCATTTCTGACTATTTTTACAGAATGCTCATCTATTAATGCCTTTGAAGTATTTTGTAAGATAAGGAGATTCAGATATGGGCAGCATTGGATGATAAACCCCTACAGTAGTTTTAGATATTCTCCAAGCATATCTGTTACTGTAAAAAATACTAGTGACTGTTCAGCTACAATTTAAACTAAAGTTAGACAGCAGCATAAAGTTATCATTCCTGAAAAAGAAGTTATCAACTGTAAAGAAGAATCATTTATCCAGATTATTTAGAAATAGGTTACATTTAAATGTATCTAAATCCTGAAGTACAAAATTAAGGAACTTCAAAACTTCTCAACTGCATCTGGATATCATTCTTGACACATGGACACAGAAAAGGCAACTTTAATACATTCAGAAAAGAAGAAGCACAAACATTAAAAAGACATTTCAGAATAGACCTTACAGTAACTTCTTATCTGCTTTTTGTAGAACAAGCTGATCTACGTTCCATGAAGCATACATCCCTCATAGAACACAGTCATATGAATGCATGTGCGGACTGTTTGAAGACCTGACTTGTATCCAGAAAGTTTTCAGTTCTGGACACTGGTTGCAGATCATGTAATCTGAGACAGAATCTATCATTTATTTGTGGGCACAAAAATGGCAGGTACATCCTGGGAGGGCTCAGTCCCCACAGTACCCTCATGGCAGTGCTGTTCTGCACTTTCTATCTCTGGGCAGAGTATTCCTTTCTGTTCTACAGCTACATTCTCTTCACTGTCGTAATTCGGAAGTAGCACGAAACAAGCTATAGTGTCAGAAACTCACAGCCATTTCTTAATTTATTTTAGTTCTATAAACGAAGTACAATACCTGTAACTTGAGTAGGTGCAATTACTTGACTTGCACTCGAAGTGGAGACTTCAGGAGCAACTTCAACAGGCAGAGGAGGAGATGTTTTCTCAATCACTACTGTGTGACATGGAATGGAAATCAATCACATCCAAAAAAAGCCCAATCCTTGTAAAGCACTGAAAAAAACCCCACCCTTAAAAGAATTCACAATTGATACTGAATAAGCCAGACACTATGGAGCTTTTAGTTAGTTTATTCTGCTTAGATCTGGAGTAGAAAAAGTAGTGTAATTGGCTTTTCCATGATTCTACCATTTGTGAAAAGTTCTGAGGTGCTAAAGAAAGCAAAAAACTTGCACAGCAAACGTTATGTATAAATATACAAGAGGACATCTAAGTAAAGTTTCCTTTTGAAAGGGGTACAAGACCTCAATTCAGCTGTCATTAAAATTCTCGTGTATGTAATCCAGGATACCACTTTTGTCTAAAATATGTGTTTGCCTCCTGGCAAGCCACCCAGCCAATGTCAGCCTCTCAATTCCTCCCACTTCAGCTTCCACAACTTTTTTCCCCCCATGTATTCTTCTCATGAAAAACTTACTTGTGAAGTTCCAATCAATTTTGCATTAACTTCTGTTACAACTGTTACCTTCATATTCTTTGATGAATTCTAAGCACTCTCTCATGCTAAAACGTAAGTCAAAATAAGTTACCTGGGAACTGGGGATGCAGGTTAATAGTTGAAATTCCAGGAGAAAGCTGAGGTTGTCCAGGCTCTAGATCAGGCTGCTTTTCTTGATCAAGGGAAGCTAATTCCTAAAAGAATGATTAAAAATTTGCATTCTGAAATATTCTCTTAATTCAGCTACAATAACAACCCACAAACTCCTGGCTTATTTGCTAACACTCTCGCATGAGTGGCTTTTGATAGCATAATCATTAATTATCACCAATTTAAGCATGAAAGAACATGGAATACAACGTTACACAATGGCATACAATTTAACATTGATTTTATTTGAAGCAGTCTTTTTAGGGAGCTTCTAATTGTATCTTTGGTTTTGTCTCTCCATAGTTCTGCTATTCTCTGGTCTCTAACTGCTTACACAGAAGTATTTGGAATAAATTGCCCAGAGATGTTGTGGCTGCCCCCTCAATGGGGTCAAGTTGGACGGAGCCTTGAGTAGCCTTATCCTAGTTGAGAGGCGTCCCTGCCCATGACAGGGAGGTTGGACTAGATGATCTCTAAGGTCCCTTCCAGTCTAGGCCATTCTATGATTCTACGATTCTATGACATTTTCACGTCTCAAGTCTTTGACCACTATGAAAGGTTCTCTTAGCTATTCCACTGATTACCTTATCTTCCTAAAAGTGTCAGATGCTAGTAAGTCTGTAGAAAAATGAAGCTAAGTATAGCTGCAGTTATGCTTAACAAATCCCATTATCTTCAGCACAGAGAACCTGGAATCTCCAGAATGGGGGACTTAATACAGATACACACCTGCTCTTATCCACTGAATACACAGCAACTCTAAAACAACCAGGAAGCTAACTTAGGTATTAATTCAAGCTCTTAAGAAGGTGTCACAAATGCTTTTCAAAGCTTCACGCTGTTCTTCTCCAATTCATTTTCTCTGTCAGTACTTGTGTCTTGTTTTCATACTATCTGCATTTTTCAACATCCTCTCTAAAATAACAGGCTCAAAAGCACGATAGAACAACATAGTATTATACTCTCCACCAATGCCCTAAGGAGAGGTTAAAGTAATCTCTTTCCTGTACCTCACTACCTGCCTGTTTTATATAATATGAGCTCTTTTTGCCTCAGGGATGACACTGTAAGTTCACACGACTTGTTTGTTCCTCCTTAAATCCTAAATCCTTTTCAGGGTTATTGTATCACGTCACATACACACGCTCTGTATTCTAATCCCTAGATAAATCGCATCATGTTTTACCTGATCAGGGGCTGCAGTTGCCACTAAAATCAGAAAGAAAAAAGAAAATTAATGAGTCTCTGCATAACATTCGCTTACACATTCTATGTAAAGCTACTAGCACATTTGAAATTGGTTGTTGCCATCACAGGAAAATTTCAGGCTCTAACCTCATTCCAAAATGGTGCAAACTTCAAGTAATGTTCCTGAAACAAGTGTAGAAATTAACCTGAAGCCAGAACAAGATTCTACATGCTGACCAATATTACTCAGTATTCAGGTGCCTTGTAGGTCTTTTGAATTTTGATGATTTTCTTAGAAACAATCTGAGAAGCTCACAGGTTATTAACTCAACGAACTAACATTTTTTAATTCCTTACAAGGAATATGAAAATTAATGGAAAGGTAAATTAATATCATAAAGTTGTATAACTAACCATTAACAAAATTGCAAGAATTTATTACAAAAGAATAAACAAATCACGTTTTCAAATTTGCCTCTTCTTTTAAGGCAAGCAAAAGTGGTTTGGAATTTTTTGCTTCCAAAAAAGTGGTATTTTTCTGGGAAGGAGAGGTACAAGTTTTCCATTGCAGTCTGCCTTTTTTGAATTTGTCTTTTACTGCTGAAAATCTATATGCTTCTGTAAACTTTGTAAGACTATTTTTCTTTTCACAATATTGAAAAAAAAAAATCACTCCTCTTGCTTTAGTTTCTTCAGTATTAGCAGGGAGGTTGATTATCAGAACTCCAAGAACTTCTTAAAAAATCTCAAAAATTCCAAATGCAAACATATCAAAAAATGAGATATAAAATTCAAATGTGCATGCCTCATTCGTGACTTAGAGTATGCATATTTCAAAAAGTTTTTTATTTAAAAAAATGTAATATTAAATTTTTTTTCCAGGTTCTCTCTGGTTTAAGATTTACTAGAGTGTGGCAATCTTTCTAACTACTGAAATAATATTTCAGCGAATGATACGCCACTTTTTTTTCCACTTTGTGACACAGAAAAGCCCTGATGTTTATGTGAGTTTTTATAATCCAGCACAATCTGCAAGTGTATTGGAATAGCCTATTTGTCATCTCCAGATTCCGTTTAGCTCCACTTTTTTTTTTAAAGCAAAACTAGAGCAGTGATTTTAAAGGAAAGTAATTCATGTTGCACAGACTTTTGCAAGGTTGGCTGACTGCAGCCCTTGTAATAATGGCCTGGCATGCAGATACAAAACTGCTACTTGGAAATAACCTAGAAGAACCCAGCACCACAAGAGGGTTCTTCAGCAATGTATTTCATCTTGCCTACACCTACTTCATGCCAAGTTTGCCAGCAATGTAATTATAATAGTGCTGCCTTCTGCAATTCTTTGCTTCTGCGTTTGTGTCAGACTCGGGACAAGTCCGGCTGCTACAAGTTCTTAGAAGAGCTTGCAGAAAAGAAAGCCTGAGAAAAATATCTTAGAGGAGTCAATAATCGACAGATACAGCCCAGCAGAGAGGGGCTGATCCAAGACGGACACGCCAAGGAGCGCACAGCTGCCCACATGAAGGGGACGCCTGCCCACATCGGGTGGTGCTGACCTGCAATAATGTATTGAAGGAAGATGACGAAAACTCCTTCGCTTCTGCCACCCCAAATACTCACATATCAAAGCCTGAGCTGAGTCTTTTCTTAGATGGCAGAGATTACAAATATCTTTACAGAAGCCTTACAACAAATATTTACTATTTCTTTTAATAGAACTTAATGAGATTAAAGCAGTCTCTCTCTCCCCTGTGGTGTTCTCAGCATCCAGTAGGAGCTACACATAAAATTGCAGAAGTAAATCACGTAACACAAAACACTCCATGACCTGGAACGCTCTGCTGCGGGAAGAGGCGGCTTGTTGTCCTGCACTGCAAGAAGTTACTCCGCAAAGAAACACACCATTGAAGACACATGCACAGAAATACAGAAAGACTGAATTTTCCCACTCTCACCTTCTTGCACAGCCATCTCAGTCTCACTTTTCTGTGAGAAGGTCAGTGCCTCCACTGGCTCTTCCTTTGCTGGGAGAGGTGGAGGAGAAGTACCTTTAGCAACAGGTTGAGTAATCGGGGTCTTGCCAATGACAGGTGGCTGTACTCTAACTGCAGGGTGATGATATAGCTTGTTTCTGTGAGGGCCAGAAACCGTATAACCCATTCCACCAGGGCAGATTTCCTTAAAAGCAGCTAGATTTGGGATGGGAAAATATTCCTTTTAGGAGTCTAAAAGTGCAATACGTTGACATAGTGGAAAATATATAATGACTACCACTAACAAATTTAATTCCGTATATACATTCTTACAAAAATCTACTTAAAGACGAGCTATGTATCACATGCTAATATGACTGAGCATTCTCCCAAAAGCACGTTCTGGCTGTTGTCCCCAGGAGGCTTCCACTCCAGTTTACCATCTTTCTTCAGTTACATTTAATGCATCGTTATATCAAGATGAGTTTTGTATTAATCCTCTTCAGATGGTATATCCTTTTTGAGCATGAATTTAAATATGCAAATTGTCATCATTACATACATTGTATAAGGAATGAAGGTCACTATTTCTATCACTCTCTTCTTGCAGAAACCAAAGGAAAAAAGCTCATCACCCCATACTAGAGGAGCTGAAGCGTATCAACCAGTAACAACATTCACTCACAGGATGCATTTGACTACATCAGAGGTCTCATACCAGCCCTGATCCAAATTCCACTGACCTCAGTGGGCTGGATAAAAACAAGAAAGGAATCATAAAAAGCCAAATCACCACTGGAAGAGAGGGGAAATATTCTCATTTATAAAGCTGCTATAGCAAAATGGAATGAAAGTCAGGCAGCAGCACCTGCTCTGATCTCTGCAGCTGCCTTACATCAGCATCAGGTTTTGCAGTCCTAATAGAGAGCCAGAATGGAAAAGAAACAGAGGTCATCCTTCCTCCCCATCAAAGGTAATAGCTGCTGCTCCCCTCAGGGACACAGTGAGCCTCAGGAGTCTCGAAGGGGCAGTGCCTCATTGTCCTCATTGCTCTAGGTAAAGCTATGTTGGGATGAAACACCAAAGATAGAGTCTCCCACGTGCCCGATGTGGTTTCTTACAGCTTCTTAAGACATGTGCGGAGTGGGGCATTGGTAAGTTCACAAATTCAAAGCAGAACACATCAGGAGGTTAAAATTAATTAGCAGGTAAAATAAACCCACAGAATACTAGCTGTAGGTACTCCACAGAAGAATTCATTAAATTACAAGTTAAATTGCAGTATGCATTAATTCCATACTGTGTTCTGACAGCGTCTTTTAGTAATAGAAAAGATAATGGGTCAGATTGATTAAATTGAGTGAATTCAGAATGATGAAATAACTTTTTGCTGGGAAATGCTAATATCAGAACTCATCTCAAAAACACCCAACCAAGGGTGGTAATTCTGGACAAAAGAGGAATTCAGAGAAAAACTGACACTTGTCTCTTCAGATGCAGAACACAAATGCGAGCCTTATTCTATAACAGCAACCAGGTATACAAAGCTGGCCTCCCTCAGTCTCTCTTTCAGTACTGGTCTACTTCACACAGATATTTTAAAAGTTACCAGAGAGTGAGATGGGATGCTGCAGTAAATACATTACCCCATTCTGGAGTATCCCACTTTCACACATTTTTCATAGAAAACTCTGAAAGATTATGAATTTAACCTGTTATAGAAAATCATGAAAGTTGTCATGAAATGGGTGAAGCATTTCCCACATAGATCATTAGAACTTTCTATTCAAAGATTTTATCTCTGAAGTCTTTTCATTAAGAAAAATCACTAAAATAACCATTTCCAGATAATGCTCAATGGACTACTTTTTATGACTAGTCATCCAAAAGATATATTCTCTGCTCCAGAATACATAAAGCCTCATGCAATACTCTCATGGACATAAAGCATCTGCATTTAAATTGCAAGTCATGAGATGATGAGAATGTATTTTCTTCTCCACAGAAATATTATTCATCTGAACATGAATTGGACTTTTAAAATCCTGATGGTGATCTAGCCACCCAACAGTCATGGAGGAAACAACGGCTTTAAAAATCAATTGAAACGCTCAAAAATGTTGGTCGCTTCCATTTCTGTAAGCCAAACTAAATAAAAAGTAAGGACTCTACTGCTCTCATCATGTCTCTGATGCTAGCTGTGCATTTCCCAAAGCAGCAAGCTACTTCTAAAAATCTGAATCTTTTTAAAACACTCCAGAGAAATACATGGCCTGTATCATAACAGTGACATCTGCAGCAGTGACTTCACTAAGAACATGGGATTAATCATTGTGAATACTTGTGCTAAAATACTGAACAGGCTGGATATCATGTACATTACAATAAGCAACAAAAGATGAATTTGACCATACATTTGGACAAAAAATAATATTCAATTTATTTTGAGTAGACACTTTAAATTCGGTCTTTTAAGTTTTAAGCAAAATCAGGGGATAGAAGGTACTTGAAAGTAGTGATCCGTTCCTTTATTATGGGCAGCCTAAATGAAGGTGGTGACTAGTCAGGCTGGTATTTTCCAAGTCCTTACATATTTAAAAACCAGCAGGATGTCAAATGAACATTGACAATACAAGTGAGCTTTAGGTTCCAAGTAAGGAATTGTTTAAGTGCAAGGTAGCTTGAGATGTTTAACTAACCATTTATTGTTAAGAAGGTAACACCAGACTTAGCACATTCTTCAAAACTGATGGTAAATATATGAAGGAAGCTTAGAAAGTAGGGATACTCCCATACATATTCCACTAACCGCAACAGAAACTACAACACACATCATGCTGCAACTTAATTCTCAAAAGCTGCCATCTTTTCAGTGAATCCTTTATCAACTGAAGAGTATTAATTAGGGTTAATTTGCCTGTACCTATAGTCAAAAAATAAGGTAAAATAAATTTATCTTCATCTGATGGAGAACTAAAGGTCAAGGATGTATCCTGAGATGCAAATATTTTTAATCTGGAATTCTATCAGAGCATATCAAAGATAATTCCTTTGTTTTAATCACAAATCCTGAGGAACATTACTTTTTACATGTGATTATTTTACTATCATGCAGTGATGGACACTTCTTGTTTAAAATGAAGTCTCAGATTTTTTTTTTTTAAAAGCATGCGTAAGAAACATAAGGGTGGTGGCAAGAGCATGTACTTTAATGAGCAGTTCTTACCTGTTCCTGGCAGTGGACACTTCTCACAGTGTGGGCCCCAGGCTTTGCCAACACTGCAACAGCAAAGCTGCTTGCTGAGCTGAACAGAAAGAGGATGCATGCATTGCTTTCCTGCACTAACAAACCGGTAGCAGGGTCCTTTCTCTTCAGCAACTACAGGGTTATCAGCTGCAATGAAAGTGGAAGAGAGGATGGTACTGTTAACGTGAAAAGCAAAACAGAAACACCACTAGATTTCCAACACCAGTTCAATGGATTAATATTACCATATGCAGAAGTTGTATTTCAAACACCTATCTCAAGCCATAATGGCAACATAAAAGAAAACTCTTATTTTGCATCAAAACCTCCTGAATTTCAAGTCATCCTAGACCAAGAATAAAAAGTATTTTAAAGGAAAAAAAAAAAGTAATTCCAAACTAGCAGTTGACATGCTGCCAAGATAAAGAGTCAAAACCAGCACTCTCGCTTTTACACTAAGATCAGTCACTGGCAATATACACAGCCACTAGAACATTCCACTATAAGTAAGCTATAGAAATAAGACTGCAAAAGGATTAAGTATCATACATGACACTTTTAAAAAAAATACATTTACATTTTGTTACACTTGTTTTTAATGTGGAAGAGCAAAAGGCCATAAGCGATGAGTAGTAAGAGGTAATGGGAAGCTGAAAGCCATCCAGCTTTCTAATCCACATTAACACGTTCACTTATCTTGAAAAATACAAAGACTATCTGATGTTCAACGTGACATTTAAAAGCAAAAATGAAAACCAACTCCTTTTCTCTGGTGTTAAACTGAAAAGCAATGAGAAACTCTTCAAAATGCTGAAAAGCCTTCCCAGTAATTGTCATTAACTAGTAGCATAAGCTAATCATGCTGCAAAAATGAAAGAATTCGCCTACTGCTCTAGACTATATTTTATAAATCTAAAGATAGCTCAGATAGGGAGCTTAGGAAATGAGGTATTTTTCACTTGTAAATATTTTTCAAAAAAATCTTAAAGAAAGAAATTTAGTTCCCCATGCCTTCTTTTCCTCTTGCAAAGGTAGTGGATCTCAAACCAAGTAAAAGCTGATTAACAGAGGAAAACATTTGCATTCATGCTGTTTGTAACTTTTTCTTTCTCCTAATTCTTTCTTAATTTTTAATCCTTCTTAATTAGAAGAAAAATGTGCCAAAGATCATCCCGGGCTGAATGTTTAGTAATAGAAACTACGCAGGTCAAAGCTGCAGAGAGGAAAGAGGGGAAGGCAGGACACAAAGATTATTTTGGCTGGGGAACCACCAGAGTGGGGAAGAAAAATTGTGGGAAGGAGAATTCCAGACTGGGGAGAAAAACTGCATATATGAGAAGGCTGGATGTGATCTTGAAGGTTCTGTGAAGAGAAAACCAGGAAAAGATGGGAAGGATCCTGGACTACCTCTGCTGAAGACCAAGGCTTCCAGGACAAAGAGACAGAAAAGAGGTACGAGCACCGAGACTGACTCGGTAAACTGAACAAGCTGAAAAGAGGAGGCAGCAACAGCTTCGAAGAACTGGGGACAGTCACACGAATCCTCACCTAAAGTGCAACTAGGCATCTAGTTTGGTACTTTGATGAGCACCATTACTTACGTATGCATCGTGAGAGGGTAGGATCTGGCACAAATCCCATTTTGCAGGTACATCTGTAGCTGCCCATAGTATTCAAGCACTCACCATTAGGGCACACTCCCTGTAACTGACACTCATTGATATCTGTGGGAAAATGGAAAAGAATCAGATACTGAAGCATGCATTAACATTTTTTCTTCAGAAGTCATCTTTTTTACATATGTGCAGGAGAACTGTCACAAGTTAACACTCCAACACTTTTCCCCATCCTGAAAACATTTATAACCTTTTAATACATTACTGAGAACATAACAGAAAAACAATTACGTTTATATATGATTCTCAAGTCTCCAAATTAAGAAACAAAACCTCTTTGACTGGCTTATCAGCTCCTCCTTTCCTGCTTAATTGCTTGTGCAGTTAAAACACCACTCACAAGAACATTCATGGGGACAAGTTTTTAGCAGTAATTTTGGGGCCGGTTAGCTCAGTCAGTTGAGCGTGGCGCTAACAACGCTAAGGTCATGGGTTTGATTCCTGTTCAGTACCCACGTTTTGCCTGATCTAGTCAAGAGGTGGCATCCCTGGTGACAGGGAGGCTGGATTAAAACGATCTCTAAGGTCCCTTCCAGCCTAGGCCATTCTATGATAAAATAGAGCTACAACCGCATATAAAGAAATATTTTATAAAGGGTAGAGGACTGCTTGACACATTTCATATGCCTATTAATGCAATACTTATTAGTATTTGTATTTAGTAGTGCCTAAAGGTTCATTGTGCTGGAGGAAGCACGGCGCAAAAATACAAACTCTAACCTTAATAGCAAGAATATGCTTCAGGAAGCACATGTGATGTGGGGCAAAAAGGATTGCATCTGTGGGAACGCAACTTTGTAATAATTAACAACTGCTTGGATACAGTTTGCCGTTACTAGGCTATCTGCCTCAGTATCCTTTTCAGGGTCTCACTGAATTATCCTCCCATGCCCCAAGCACCAGGCCTCAGGCCTTTATCACACTCGGGGTTTCATCTCTAAGTCACTTACTCTTAAAATACGACCTGTCTGATAATCATCCGGATACCATCTGTAACTAAATCAGCAAAACTAGGATTTTATTCCAGGAGACAGTAACAATGTAGCTTGCACTGATAATCAAAAGCTAAAATTGTCTCTGTCATAAACTGTCATGTTTCCTCTTCCAGAAAAATAGACACAGCACATTGAAATAAACCTACTTTAAAATGTTTACATGCATTATTTCTATGCCAGACTTCCTTTCCCTAGCCCTAAGCTAGGAAAAAACAAACAAATCTACCTTCTGGGTAAGCAAACTTTAAGTGGAAGTCAGATATTCCAGCTAGCTCCTTGGAAAACAAGTATTAGTGATAATTTTATTAAAAATATATAATATTTATTACACTTCCTCTTAGTTTTTATAAAACCGTCACCATTTTATTTGATCTCATTGTATGTTGCTGCCTGATAGAACATAATCAATGATGGCAGGAAGTCGAATAGGTAAAATGTAACAGAAATGCTTTTGGAAACCTACAAAAAGAAGTCTTTTACCTTCCTACCTTCTTCATTTTTCTCCACAAGTCTGGCTATCACACAACACAGGAGCGCATGATTTAAGCTCACAGTACAGCTGACTCTAGCAGTTGCTCTGTCAGCCGCAATTTTTTCCAAATATTCAGCGTGGAGCTTATCCCTCAGCTCTTCCAATGCTATACCTCATCTCCTATCTTGACACCACCTGGATCAACTTCACCTCTATGCACTTAGCCACACATGACAGAGAGTCATAATTTATATGTTAGAACTTGGGATGAAATGTGATGAAAACCACATGAATTACAAAGGATCAGCTCTGCCTCAAAGGAATTTTCAAGTGAAATTCTCAGACTACATGACTTTCTGACCTCAGAGGGAGTGGGCTACTTAAAAAGGAGAATGGTGCAAGAAAAGAGCACAAAAACCTGCTGAAGTATTCTCCTGTAGCAGTCTAACTTTTGATCCATCCAATCTTTGAGCAAGAAGATGTCCCTTCTAAGCACAGGAATGTCTTGATTCTACGATCTTATTTAAGGGTTGCACTAATACAGAACATTTAGTAAGCTATTCTTGTTCTGATGCACTTGAAAATTTTTTAGACAGTTTCTTCAGTTGTTTAGTCTGACTACGTTCTTTCTTTTGCCCTGAAATGTTTAAATGTGACTGAAGGCATCTACAGAGTATCAACTGATCCCAAAAGGAAGATCATCATTCCAATACCATTATCCTTCGTGACTATTGCGAGGAATGAACTTAAATCTTAACAGCTAGCAAACTAAAGACATTGCTGAAACATACTGATGCTGCTGTAAAGTCCTTGGCAGGAAAGATCATTGCCAACCCTCCACTTTCAAACATCAGGCCTGACCAGGAACATGACAGAAGACTGTGAAACACCTACAAGGTAATACAAAGCAAATACTGCAACACTCCAGAACCCAGTGCTGAACTTTCTACCAGCTGGCAATTTGGGTTGTCAGATCAATCCTTAAATGTTCACCACAGAACAACTCTGCTTGCTTTGAAGAAGCACTGGCTCTGTTGTGGGAAACAAGTTAGAGGAAGAGATGGTATGTCTTACTCAGAATGCAGGAAAAATCTCAGTAACTGGGTTCATTTCAAACTGAAACTCCAACACAATTACACAAACACACAAATTACACGAAGACATATGTGCAAAAAGCACATAATGATTTTGAAGCAAGCAGAAAAACACAGGAGAAAATAAGAGATGGAAGAAAGATTATAATAAAAATTAATAAGTAATATACTTTTTTTTAAAACAAAGACTGTGCTCTTTTGTTCTCATCCGACTTTTGCTTTTTATTGTTTAATAGTAGTTACTCCTTGACATTGGTACATAAAGTGAAAATAATTGTTTATTTTCTACATTGTAATAGCCAAACATTTTTAAACAGCTTTCTCCCTTTCAAATTCTAAGTACATATTTTTATTTATAGGAAAATTAACCTATACTACTGGGAAAAAACCCCGAAGGTAATCTCCCAGGGACATACACAACATATCACTTTTTCTTGTCGTTTTATCTGGAATATATATACTCATGCAGAATTAGTAAAAATGCTCTGTCAAGTGAAGACAGCATCTAAATCTTAAATCAGTGACACAGAAACCTTACTTAAAACAATATTAATTTGACTTTGAATGTACAGTTCTTATTTTCAGGGAAAGAATACACTGATACTTGCTTATATGCCACCATGATGAAAAATCTGGCATTCTTCCTTCCTATCTGTGAGAGTAGCCACCATTCCACACATATGTAAGTCTCTATACAAATAACCTGTACTTGGGAATTTAAAGTAAATTGAGTTTAAATACAATATATATAGAAATTATGCACATTTTGACAGGTCTGAACTTTATTTCATGTCACTGCTGAGAAAAAAGATGGCATAGGAATGTATCGAACACGTTTGGTGATACTGGGAAAATCATGGTTTAAAGTTTTGCCTACTAATAGTGAAGGTTTCACGGCATTATCTACTGAAGTGGCTAATTTGCAGGCAGATGGGATCTTCCTCAGTACACAGCCATCTTTCCTTCCAAATGATTATTCTGCAGGAAACATCCACAAATGCTGTCATTACTGCCTCCATATTAAATCTCTTCCCAGATGAAGTGGTCTTGTACATCTAGCAGTTAAAAACAAAACACCCCTTTCACACATCCTCTGTTATCGCTATTTAATGTAGGCACTGTCACATCTAAGTACCAGCTTACGTACGTAAATACTAATGAATGTTTTTTCTAGAGTTCCTGATACAGATACTCCTCTCGCTAAATTTGTCCAATTTTTATAGTTAACTTTATTGTGCATGTTCTGATGTCTCAGTATAACTTAATTATAATGTATTTTAATGCCTCTTTTCCAAGTCACGTCTTCTCAATGAGCTCATAGAATTACTGAGCTGATGCTCTATACTGAATTACACAAGCCTATCTAGGGATTTCAAAGAAACAAGCCATAGCCGATTAAAAAAAACCTTCAAATTTTTAAAAGAAACATATATATGTGTAAGAATAGTGTTTATTTAACAAGTCTGGGTCAAAAAAAATATTTTGTGGATTTACTATCCACTTTATTTCAGACTGTGCTAAAAGGCCACCTACTCAAAATGTTTCTCACCACCTGCCAGCCCGCCCAGCTGTGCAAATTCACTGGAATCAACTTGTTCAGGCAGCTGGAAAAGATATCTAATTCAAGATTAACAGACTTTTTTTCTTTTTTACTCCTCTATTTCTTGTGTATGGACACAAAAAATATTTCAGTTTTAAATTAGTACAGCAATGAGAATTGCTACACTTGCTCTTACGCTTTAGTATTACACTGGCCAAATACATGGAACTGGTCCTTGACACACTGTATTTCTAGTTTCAGTAGTCCATCTCTGTAGAATTTTGACAAGAAACTAAAGCCTTACTCTTACTGTAGACCTGCTGACACGGCAGTGGAAGGCACGTGCCATCGCAGAGGCAGTGCTGGTGACTGCTCTCACAAGTTCATCCAAAGGCACAGAAACTTTGCTATATGCAAGGTCTTGACAGTGGTGCTGCAGTACTGTACAGAGAAGACTGGTGTGTCTCAGCTCCTCCTAAATCTTCTCCTAAGGACACACCTTGATACGGTGAGGTCACCCACCATGCTCTCCTCCAGAGCTACCACAGTGCTCCCAGCATCAAACAACCGAGGAGCTGTAACCAAACCACAGCTAATCTATCCCACAATCTTCCTCTTGAAGGAGAACTTAGAACAGGCTCTCTGAACAACAGTCAGTGTTTGATACCTTCCCACAGGTTTTTGCCGGTCTACTGGGTGTCAGGTCAACCTGCTCTCAGAAAGCAATGTGTTAATGACTCACTGCCACTGAATTCCCTGGGGAAAAAAAAAAACAAGCTAAAACAACCATTTCCTAACTGAATGCTTGTCCACTCATGTGAAGAATGTGACTATGAATGAAGTAATCTTCATGATTTAAAAGAGAAATCAACTTTCCAAAACCAAACAGAAGCAAAGAAGATGGGAACAACATAAGATGGTATTTATTTAAACATGCTAACATTCAA